TTAAACTTCCAGTAGTAGTTTACTAGCAAAACAAACACACCACTGTCATCTGAAACAGCCCTGATGCATTTGTGATGACACACAATGACAACATAGATTACTGGCTGCAACAAAATAATGTATGCTTCCTCGTGTGTTTTCAGGTCTCTGTGCTAAGAGACAACATTGCAAAGGACTTGAGACGCTACACTTGAACTTCAGGTTAGCACATGTATATTTTCCATGCATTTTCTTTGACACACTGTACACATTTTGAACATAACACATTAATCATGTGCTTTTTCTTCTCAATATTTGTAAATACAACTTTTTTGGCCGGTAAGAGAAGTTTTTGAAAGTCTAAGGTATCCAGAAGTAGCTTTAGCTTGTTATCGGGCAGCAAAATCAGTATCACATACAGCCACATCTGCAGTCACTATCTTAAAGTGCAGAAATTGAAATAAAGTTGTTGATTTGCTTGAGTTCTAACCATTCATGTTGCTTGAATTTTTTTTTAGCAGCAATATTTGCCGCATGACACTTTCTAGCTTTCTTGGTAACTCGAACATTGGAGCCAAATATCTCAAATTGCCCAAAGGTTATAGAATGCCATTGTCTGGTTTCAGCATGTACACATGAAGGTGATATAAAAACACCTAAAACATTGACCGCTTTGGCCCCTGGACAAAATGTCCATAATTCCTTAGAAGCATCCCTGATAGATTGTGCGGTGACTGCTAATAGAGTAAAAGCATGGACAATGTATGCTTTTATATCTTTCCACCAAAAAGCACTCAAGCCTAAGCAGTGCTTTTTTCTGGGGGGGACACAGCGGTACACATACCCCTAAACATTTTGTGAATCTAAGTTTGGCATCATTGAGGGGCAGTATTTCAATATGAGTAGGAAAATGAGAGTACAGTGGTGCCTCACAAGACGAAATTAATTCGTTCCGCGAGTTTTGTCGTCTTGCGATTTTTTTCGTCTTGCAAAGCACGGTGTCGGGAAAGTTTTGGAAAACCTTCAAAAACCACCAAAGTCTTAAAAAACCTCAAAAAAGGCTACCACACCGCGTTCTATGAGTTGCTCCTCGAAGTCAAGTCGCAACTGTATTAACGGTGTTAAGAAAAAGGAAACAAACTTGCAAGACGTTTCCGTCTTGCGAAGCAAGCCCATAGGGAAAATCGTCTTGTGAAGCAGCTCAAAAAACCAAAAACCCTTTCGTCTAGCGAGTTTTTTGTCTTGCGAGGCATTCGTCTTGCGAGGTACCACTGTACCCCTAAACATTTTTTAGAAAAAAATCACTGTGCCTAAGGAAGAACTGTAGAGCTGGGGCCCTTATCTGAGAGTGAAAAGAGATCTTAGTCTGGGATGAGTGCCAGCATGAGCTGATATCATAAATTCTGCTCATTATTTCCGCTTGCTAGAAACAGGGGAAAACATAGCTATGAGGCTCACCGCTAGGAGATGTGCCAACGTTTTGTGCAACTTCTTATTCTCCTTTCTCAGTTGCAAAATTGACTCCTTGTTCTTCTTAATGTTCCATTGGGTGGTCTCATAGTAAGCTTTCCGATCACCTTCTGTAATGAGGACAAATAAAACCACTCTGCTTATGTTCATCCAAAAAAACAGCAGCAGCAAAGCCAAACTCGTTGAAGTAGTTGCCAATTTGGGGTAACTTTTAGTCATCTTCCTATCCTCTCACAGATATGTGATTATGGCAGCTACATTATATATAGTGATTGAAATGACAGAAATTATGCTTTACAACATGACATACTTTGAGAGTTGAATTTAGTATTTCACTAGAATCAGGAGTGTAACCAAGGACAAAAAGGGCTTAATACAAGGCCTCTTTTTATAGGAAATCCAATCTCCTTTTAGAGGCTTCGAGCATTTTGCTTTGGTCTGTATCTCCAGTCTGAAAATAATAGTGTTTTTTAATTTCTCAGTCCACAAAAATAGATATTGTAGGCCAATCATACATCTGTGGCAGTATAAATACCTTTCAGATGCCCCTCCACTTCTAGACCTCAACAAAAAGTGTACTAGTATTGGATGTACGAGACTTGAACATATTAATTAGACTGTGGTGCTCACTAGAAATATGGATATTGGCACAGTCAATAGGATTAATGGGTTATATCCAATCTTGCTTGAGCAAAGAAACTTGCCTCTCCTTTGCAGCCTCCTGTGGGTCCCCAAAATCTGCTCTAGAGGACGGGGGGGGGGACACCATTTGGAACAGATTTTAGGGGGTGCATGGAGAAAGGAAGTCCTGTTGTATGAGTGGAACTCAGTACATGCTGTGCTGAATACAACCCAATGAAACCAGCACTTCTTAGCATCTAACTCGACTTTGCAGTAGCACAAGCATGGCTATAGTATGTTCTCACATTCTCCCTCTCTGTTGCTCCTAAGAGGCAACATCTTAGCTGTGTGTCCTGGAAGACCTGCTCTCTGCCTTGCTAGCCTTTTCCACCTGGCCTAGAAGGGCAGGGCCCTGACTGGCTGACTGGCCTCCAGCTACAAAAGCTGATGCTGCTGAACACACTACTGGGCTGGGGTATTTTTTAGGGAGGTTTAGTTGCTATTACTGATATTATTTTTTTAATCTTTTTTATATATTATGCTTTATGTGGAAATTGTTCAATTTGGCTGTGTACTTTTTCATGTGTTTTATTTATTGGTTATGACTACTTTATGTTTGTAATTATGTAACATCTTTTCATGTCGTAAGCCGCCTTGAGAATGGTTTTAACTTTGGAAAGGTGCCATAAAATTTTATTTATTTTTAAGAATGTTTCTGCAAAACCACATCAGTGGCTGAACAGTGCCAGTTTCTCGTGGTTCCCTCACTGCGAGAAGTGAAGTTACAGGGAACCAGTGGTGCCCGCCCTATGGAACACCCTCCCCATCAGATGTCAAGGAAATAACTAACTATCTGACTTTTAGAAGACATCTGAAGGCAGTCCTGTTTAGGGAAGTTTTTTAATGTTTGATGTTTGATTGTATTTTTAATATTTTGTTGGAAGCCATCCAGAGTGACTGGGGAAACCCAGCCAGATGGGCGGGGTAGTAATAATAATAATAATAATAATAATAATAATAATAATATTACTACTACATGCAACTGGTTAGTTAGAAATCCAAGTGGGAAAGATCTGAAATGGAACAGCCAGGAGTCTGGTCATCTGCAGTGTATAAGAATTAGCCTGAAGCTTTCAAACAGGGAAGCTTGACAAACATTCATGTTCCCACACCCCTTTATACCACAAATGAATAGATAAAAGTGAGTGGACTACTAGTAATGTTCCACTTTCCCCATGGGTAGCTTTAGGAGGGAGCCCTTCCCTTTCTGCCTCCCAATTAACAAAATAGTGGTAATGACATAATTTACAGGGTGTTGCAAAAAGGAACGAAGCAATGGAATATTGTCCCTGAGGATTCTGCTGAGTGATTGCTACATCTAAAATAATCACACTATTGGTCCATCTTGCTCACCATTATCTACTTGGATTGGAAATGGCTTTGCATGGTTTCAGGCAGCTTCTATTCCCATCCCTACCTGGAGACCCCGTGGGTTGAACACAGGGTTTTTTTTTACACAAAAGGCAGATTCTATGATCCTTCCCCAATACATAACACGCCACAGTTGCTGCTTTTTTAAAAATCAAAAAATTGCTGTGACAAACAGAAAAACACTTTCTGGGCCAACCTAGCACCTAACTCGTGGTCCTGCATGACAATTTGCAATCAGTTCAATATTATGCACACTTAGGTAAAGGTAAAGGGACCCCTGACCATTAGGTCCAGTCGCGGACGACTCTGGGATTGCGGCGCTCATCTCGCTTTATTGGCCGAGGGAGCCGGCGTACAGCTTCCGGGTCATGTGGCCAGCATGACTGAGCCGCTTCTGGCGAACCAGAGCAGTGCATGGAAACGCCATTTATCTTCCTGCTGGAGTGGTACCTATTTATCTACTTGCACTTTGACGTGCTAGGTGGCAGGAGCAGGGACCGAGCAAGGGGAGCTCACCCCGTTGAGGGGATTCGAACCACCGACCTTCTGATCGGCAAGTCCTAGGCTCTGTGGTTTAACCCACAGCTCCACCCGCGTCCCTTTATTATGCACACTTACTATATTATATATATTATATATATAATATTATGCACACTTGTTGTTGTTTAGTCGTTTAGTCATGTCCGACTCTTCGTGACCCTATGGACCAGAGCACGGCAGGCACTCCTGTGTTCCACTGCCTCCCGCAGTTTGGTCATGCTCATGCTGGTAGCTTATGCACACTTACTTATAAGTAAATCAATGTTTACTCCCAAGTAAGTGTGCACAGAAAAGCAGCCTTACTCAATACGGGATGCCTCCTCTCCCACTTCCGAAGGCTTTCTCCCCTCAGCAGCCAGGCACCCCTTACCTAGGAGTTGTATCTTGTTCTGCAGCTCTGTAATCTGGTCGTGGACCGGGGGCTTAATCCCCTGCAGGGCTTGTGTCACTGGCATGGCGGAGTTTCTCTCCTACCACCTTAAGCAGGGTCTGCTCGTCCCTTCCCCACCTGCACACGACCGCCGTCCCCGTCCCCAAGCCTCCCTGTCTTCCCCCTGCCCCGCTTCGCCAGGCTGCTTCCCCCTCACTCGACCATCAGCTGCATCCTTTCGCCTGCATCCGTCTCCATGGCGACCAGCTCCTCCGATGCAAAGCGCCCATTGGCCGAGGGAAGCGACCCGCGAAAGGCATGGCGGGAGGAAGGTCAGGTTCTCTCGCTTTTCCTAGGCCGCAGCTGAAATCTATCCACAGCCATCCTCGCCGTCGCCGTGCGGGGGAACGCGAGCAAAGGTATCGGTGTCGTCCCTTTGCGGGGGGAAAAGGGAACCAGGTCATTAAACTCATGAGGCAGCGCCGCTGGAAGGCGGAACAAGCAAAGCGCACTTCCGCCACTCTCGCCATGGGCGCCTAAAGGAAGGGGAAGTCCTCGAGACAGCGCCTGAGGGAAAAGGACAAGGGCTTCCGCCATACACGCCCACACACGCGGTCGCGCGCACTTCGAAGCGGATGTTCCCGTCATCCCCTTCCGCTTCCTCGGACGGTTGGACTTGGGACCCGTTTTCCGCGAGGATTCCCGCGCCCCGTCGGTGAGGGAGGCTGTTGGGCTTGTGAGGGGGGTGCGGGTTCCTGGAGGGAGAGCGCCGGAGGCTGCTCTTGAGGGGCGCTGGAGGAAGAGCCGGGGAAAGGCGAGTTCCAGGGCCTCTGCGCGGGGGGGGGGGCGGGCAGGTCGCGCTGCACCTGCCTGTGGCAACGGGGCAGATCCTGCCTTGGGCTTCGCCACGTTGCAGAACCCTGCCTGCTTTAAAATGGGGGGCGGGGCCGTGCTGTTTTTGTCGTGGCTCTGTGTTTTCACAATATTGATTATCATTTCGAATTAAATGTCGGCAGTCGCCCTTCATCCAAAGACCACAGGGCGCTTTGCAATAGGAAAACGCAAAAATACTCAGCATGGTAACAAACGGAAACAAACAAAAAAGCCCACCCCAATTTAAAAGGCCACAGATGGTTTCCAGTGAAGACACCTCCTTGTTGTATTACAGTGGTACCTCGGGTTACATACGCTTCAGGTTATAGACTCTGCTAACCCAGAAATAGTACCTCAGGTTAAGAACTTTGCTTCAGGATGAGAACAGAAATCGTGCTATGGCGGCGCGGTGGCAGCAGGAGGCCCCATTAGCTAAAGTGGTGCTTCAGGTTAAAAACAGTTTCAGGTTAAGAACGGACATCCGGAACGAATTAAGTACTTAACCCGATGTAGCACTGTATTGTTATTATTTATTAGATTGTACGTTTAGGTTCAGTGTGAACATAAAATGCATAATACAGTGGTACCTCAGGTTACATATGCTTCAGGTTACATACGCTTCAAGTTACAGACTCCACTAACCCAGAAATAGTACCTCGGGTTAAGAACTTTGCTTCAGGATGAGAACAGAAATCATGCGGTGGCAGCGGGAGGCCCCATTAGCTAAAGTGGTGCTTCAGGTTAAGAACAGTTTCAGGTTAAGAACAGACCTCCAGAATGAATTAAGTACTTAACCCGAGGTACCACTGTAAAACAAACCAATGACACCCCCCCCCCCCGCACATAACCATAGATTGTGAAACAGCCCAAGGCTTGGTTGAAGAGAAAAGTTTGTTCCTGGTGCCTAAATATATTGGTGAAGGCACCAGGCGAGACACCCTGGGTGGGGAGCATTCCACAGTCAGCCACAGTCTTTGGTTGCCACCTTCCAGACTTTTCAAAGGAGGGACATGAAGAAGTGCCTCAGATGGTGATTGCAGAGTCTGGGGTGATTCACGTGGAGAGAGGTGGTCCTTGATGTATTGTGGTCCTGAGCAGGGCTATAGGAAAATGGACCAGGGCAGTTTTATATTAGGTGGAGTTTCCATTTTTCATACTAATGAAGGTTGGTTTGAGTTTAGCACTCCAAATGCTGGAATGCTAGTTTGTTCAGGCAGAGCAGACTTTCTAATTTATACCTCTCTGAGATTATCTTCGACAGAAATTGGGAAATTCGCTTGGAGTGTAGCATTTCAGGCTATAAAATTGGCCAGTTCTTAGGTAGGTGGAAAGAGGTATGCTTTGATAAAGAATTGCACACGTTCAATAGAATTAAATGCTTTGCTACCTGGTTCCCAAAATGGAGTTTCACCTTCACGGCAAGACTCAAACCATTAGTAGCAAGAATAAGAATAAGAAGATTCTCTGCCTCAAGTCCTTTGACAGGCACAGAGAAAGACCAAGACAGGATAGGAGGCAAGTTACCGTATTTTTCGCCCTATAGGACGCACTTTTCCCCCTTCAAAAATAAAGGGGAAATGTGTGTGCGTCCTATGGGGCGAATGCAGGCTTTCGCTGAAGCCTGGAGAGCGAGAGGGGTTGGTGAGCACCGACCCTTCTCGCTCTCCAGGCTTTATGAAACTCTGTGCAAGCCGCGGGAGCCCTCCCCCGGCTTGGCAGAGCTGCCTCTTATCCCGAAGCCCCGGCGCGCTGAGCAGTCGCGCCAGGGCTTCGGGTAGCTCCACGCAAGCCGCGGGAGGGCTGCCCTGGCATGCGCAGAGCTGCCTCTTATCCCGAAGCCCCAGTGCGCTGAGCAGTTGCGCTGTGGCTTCGGGTAGCTCCGCACAAGCCGCAGGAGGGCTGCTCCGGTTTGCGCAGGCTTGTGGCAGAGCCGCCCTTATTCCGAAGCCCCGGCGCGCTCAGCAGTCGCGCCGGGGCTTCAGGTACCTCCGCGCAAGCCGCGGGAGGGCTCCCACGGCATGTGCCAGAGGCAGCCTGTTCTGGGTCGGGGGAAGCTTTTTCTTTATTTTTCTTTATTTCCCCCCAAAAAACTAGGTTGCACCTTATGGGCTGGTGCGTCCTATGGGGCGCAAAATACAGTACTCATTTGTGGCTATGATTTGGCAAACGAGAGAACAGCGCTTCCAAAGCACTGGGATAAAGTGCTGCTGTTTCTTTATTCAGATCCCAACCCAATTCTTTTCTCAAGCCCAGATATAGCAACTGATTGGACAATGATGTTCTCTGAAGACCAGAGCATGTAGTTACCATAGAGATGCCATCTGAGGCTTTCCTCCAGATGGTGCTACATGCTGGCTGTAGCATAGATAATAATAGGCAGTGACAGTGTAGACTTCCACTGCAGGTAGTTGTATATGTTATGGCCAGAACAGGTGGCCTATTCTAAAGAGAAGCCTTTATTTACTTTATTTATTAAATTTCTATAAAAACACAAAAAGACACAACATAGTAACAAACCCAGACAATTCCCCCATGGGGTTATTAGCCCACCCATGGCAACTATAACAAATGCTCTCATGTTTGTGGAGATTCAGAGTCAGAGTTAGTAGGTGCCTGTTGATTCCCACCCAGAATCCTGTTACATGTTTTGACAGTCCTCAGTGACCAGGTCTTAGGGTGTGGCCCCTTTGGAAAATGGGAAGCTTTTTTTTGGGGGGGGGTGCACCAAAATAAAAACAACTGGAATAGTTTTTAAACACCAGTGTTGGAAAAATAACTACAATTTCTAGTAAGGTGTGCAAAATGTTTTATGCACCCATCTTGTGTGGAGTTTTTTTTTTAAAATATTTTTTATTAAGGATTTTCTTGTTTTACAAAAGTGTAGTGCCTCGTATTTTTTTTCTTCTTCCATGTAACATTTTTACAAATCCGTTTCATTTGTTGAGGCATTAGGGGGAGTTGAAAAGAATTCACTGCAGCATCACCTTTTAAGGTACTTAAAAGATGCCTTAATATCAGCCTCCTTAGTTTTGAGCCCTGAGAAAGATGATAAAAGTGTGTTTAAATTTCTTTTTGAAACTGGAATATTTAAATTGTAGAGCATACTTGGGTCAAATAAAATATATGAATTCAAATTAAGTTCTTGAGATGTGAAGGGAATTGTGTTTTGGGTTGCGAGTGGAGAGGACAGAATTCTGCATCTTTGCCCCTTCACCTATTTCTGTTAGCATGGAAACTTCTGTAGCAACAGTCCTCTGTTTTTCCCTTTCCTTCAGGAGCCGCTGCTGCTTTTTGCCTTTGGATCATGCTGCTCCTTACCCTGTTGTTGTTCTTGCTTTTGGGCCTAGCATCTCCTGTGGAGGTGAAGCGCCCACGGGGTGTCTCCTTAACAAGTGAGTTCCCAGCAGATAAAATGCCAATGTTGTTCCACCAGTAAGCAACTCCTTCTGTTGATGAGGAGAATGGAAACAAGGTGTCTGTATTATAAATTTGTGCATCCACTTTCATTTCTTAGCAAAACCCTACATTTGGTATATTCACTGTTTGTTTTTTCCTGGTTGAAAAATGGAGGAATGAGGGAGGACTACAAGGGTTAGGGCTGCCATTGCTTCCTGCTCTTAGTTCTACACTTCATTTGGTGCCAGTCGTGACATTTGCAACTATGCACACATTTACACAGTTACTTCCTGCAGAGAAGGGTTGTCTTCTTCATGACTTGCTGTTCCTTTCTGGTAAAACTGTTAAACTTGGAAGCATTTCCTAATTCTCATAATTCCTTGAGTAGCCTCAATTCTTTTGAAAGTTAGTGGCAGCAGCCCCAGCGACTTGGTTCTCAGGCTTGTAATCACATTCTCGTTTTTCAGATTGCACTGTTCTTCCCCCCCTCCCCACTGGAACTGTTTTGCATAAAAGGCTGAGATTTTCGTGTATTTAAGCCTCCCTTGTGCTGTTTCTTCCTCATGTGGTGGAAAAGAGACTGTACATCTGAATGTGTAGCTTTTCTGGACTAGTTTAACTATGAGGTGAATTCATCTTACTAGCAGGTGCCCAGACTGAAGGGCAAGGTAGGTAGCACTACACTACTGGTTGCATTTTCTAGGAGTTGGCTTGCCAGAATGTGTCAAATCATTGAGTGGCTTTGGGGAGAAGATGGTGTTTTAGTGTCAGCTTGTGAAAGGTCAGTCATGTTTCATGAATGGCTCCTGAGCCTCAAATGATTGCAAATCTTCCTAGCACTTAATACAGCCTCCTTTGAGTGGAACAGGGACAAGGTTGAAGAAGAAACTGCTGTTCACAGCTAAATATTATTTTAGTGGCTTTGAATAAATAGTTCCTTGAAGCTCTCTAAAAAGCAAACTCATCCTATTTTAGTGCACACCTGTCCTTCCCCTTCTGTTTCCTGTTGCAGTTTCCCTCAGTTCAAATGTCAATCTTCCCCTCTCCGCCACATCACTATGGTTATCCATGAGTGATTTAGAGAGAGCAAGTGCGTTTAAGGATTTGGTATTGTATATGTGACTGGGGATGTTAGAAGACTATGCCATGATATTGCTATTGGTGTTTTGTTTTTGTCCCGTCACCCCAAATTTGTGTTGTTTGGCTTGTGCCTTGAATGCCTTTCTGGATTGGTGTATTTGCATTCTGCAATTTTTGTTCTCGGAACCAAGTGTCTCTTGCTGTCCTTCTCAGGCCATCACTTCTATGATGAATCGAAGCCATTTACTTGTCTAGATGGCTCAGCAACAATAGCCTTTGATAGAGTCAATGATGATTACTGTGACTGCAAAGATGGATCAGATGAGCCAGGTAAGCCCCACTCACACACCTTGCCTCCACCAATGAAACATGCTGCTTATTGCTGCTGTAATTAGATACTTGCTAATATTGTACTTCATGGGGTTACCTGTTCCCTGAAGGTGCGAAAATGTACAAGGCATGAAATGCACAAAGTTTCAAAAGCAGAATATGGTTTGCCTGGATTAAAAGCAAACATATTAGCTGAAGAGAGAGACAGCACAAATCATAGCTGGGTGGGAGGTTTTAGATTAGACATCAGGACAGATTAGATGTTTCTCACACAATAGAGGGGCAAGCACTTGCCCACGGGGGCTCTGGAATCTGCATCTGGACTTTGGGGGGGGGGGTTGTTCTTTTGCCTTACAGCAATACCACTTGTAGAATCACAGAATAGGAGAGTTGGAAGGGACTACAACGGTCATCTACTCCAACCCCCAGCAATGCAGGAATCATTTGCCCAGTGTGGGACTTTAGCCCATGGCCCTGTGATTAAGAGTCTCACGCTCTACCAACTGAGCTATCAGCAATGCCTAGATGATAGGCAGGTCCTGGTCCAGCTGAGGTACAAAGTTGCTAGTGGGACATGAGACAGAGCTGGATCTGTATTGTCTTCCTGCTTGCAACTTTGGCAAGAATCTGCATTGAAAATTGGGAGCAGGCGAGATGATATATTAAATTGGTGCAGAAAACTTGGATGTTCAGTGTTAGTCAAGAGTGAAAATGATATGTCCTAATGACACTTTGAGTAAGGCTTTTTGGACCAGATGTTATGTCTGAATATGTTACATAGGTTTGCTGCAATCTGTTTAGAATTAATGGGAGAAGCTGAAGCATGAGGAAGATTGGGTGTGAATAGTATGTTTGTGTGTGACTGAAAGTGACCTTTGGATTATCTTTCTCTTGTTGCAAGATCCTAAATCCAACTCTTCATAATGGTAAAACAAGACAAAGTGGTCATAGTGACTAACTTCGTAGAATGGGCAAATCCAACATGGCCAGTTTATCCCTAAATCACAGAATGTGCGGGAGGGAAGGGTAACATTGGTTCTTGTAGATAGCTGTAGGCATCTAATTTGTTAAGGTATCCACTAATATCTTATCTCTCTGCCCAGGAACTGCTGCATGCCCTAGTGGCCGTTTCCACTGCTCCAATGCTGGCTACCGACCTCAGTACATCCCCTCCTCCCGTGTCAATGATGGAATTTGTGGTAAGCTTTGCTAGCTCATGCGGGTCGGAGACTTGGGGCTGCGGGCAGCCAAGCCCAAGTGAGTGAATGTTAATGGCTCTCCTTGTCATTTGCCTTTCAGACTGCTGTGATGCAACAGATGAGTACAACAGCGGCATTGTGTGTGAAAACACCTGCAAGTAAGGCATGGCCTATATCCTTTCAGGAAGCTTTTCCTCTTCTTGGACTGCTGATTCAAAGGCAGCTCCAGAATGGGTTTGGGCTAGTTTGGGAAAGGAAAGAGGATAAATGTACACTTGGTCCCAGGCAGCAGCAGCTCCCAAAATAATTTTGCACAGCCTCTGTGAAATTTGGATCCTCCCCATCTTCAAAAAAATAAATCCACTTAACAGTTCTATTGTTTAATTACGGGACACTACAATAATCAATCGCAGTATTAAAAACAGAACACCCACTCAGTCTTAATCAATCGGAGACATTTTAAAAGGCAAATTTTCTTGATAGTTTGCTGTATTATCTTGCATAATAGAACGTCTCAGCTTTTGTGCGGCTACAGCAAATTGCTGTGCTGTAGGTTGTAGGTGTTTGGTTTTTTAAGTATGTTCCTGGCCTTTCTGTGCCATATTTGGGTCAAGTACAGCTCACAACAGAACATTTCAAACATGATCGCCAGAAAAATATGCAGCTGCAAAATAATGATGCCAGCTAAAACCAAACTCCAAAAAATAAAAAAATAAATTTAAAAAATGCATGGAAGCACCAGAAACTTAATCTTCTTGTGCAATGCAAGTTTTCACTCTTAAAGACAGAGAGGGGGGTAACAATTCTTCATTCCCCTGATAACTTCTTTTCATGTGTTTGTCATTGGTGCTGGCTAAGCATAATGCGGTCCTACATTCTGTATTGTATTATATTATATTGATCTTGATGTTTGTAAATATCATGAAAGAAAAAAGGGGCAGTAGATGTATAGGTTTGCAGGGGTAGAGATTCTAAAATACTTTGATGCAGTATTTTCCAATGGTTATTTTAATGCTATTTTTAGTTTATTTTGATTTATTAGTTATTTAGGGGTTTTTTCTTAACCTTTTACTGTAAGCTGCCCTGAGAATATGTTTGAAGACTAATAACTCTGTAATAAATTCACAAAATAAATGGGGCAGAGTAGTCATATTTGTCAGGCTACCCATAGCTCTTGTCCTGTTGTCACATAATTCTGCAAACTTTTATGAATATGGAGTTATTCAGAATAAGAGGACTTGCACTGTGTGTCTTAATGTGAGCACTGCCTCTGGCTGCGCAGCCCAAGTTGGTCCTCATTGACATTGCCTGGGTTGTAGCTTGCTGCTGGGCTGTCATTTCCTGCCATATACTCTGTGCCTGAAAAAAGCTTGCTCCCCGCCCCTTCTAGAATAGGGTCTCTCTTGCTGCACTGGTTGGTGCTGTGGGTGGAAGGTGTCTTTGGGGCTCAGCTCCCGCTGTCTCTTTCCTTGCCCTGTGCAGAGAAATGGGCCGAAAGGAGCGGGAGGCACTAAAGCAGATGGCTGAAGTGGCCAGAGAAGGCTTCGAAATCAAGCAGGCCCTGATGAAGGAAGCAAGCAAGAGGAAGGAAGAAAAACAGGTGAGGATGCTGGCCTAGGAAGTGGACACACTGTGCTGACAATACAGGGGAAGAGTGCCCATTGCCACCAGTGCTCATGAGCCTGGGCATCGTTCCTCTCACAGGAGCATTTTGGAGTCACTTGAAGAAGCCAAGCTATGGCTTTTTTCAGGTAGGCATTAGAAGTGAGCTCTAGTGGGTGGGGAGCCAAGTTATAGAGATTCTATACACTTCATGGGCTTGGACTGTTGAGAGGACCTCTTCTCTCTCCTCCCCACCCCCCAAACACTTCTAGATAAAGCTCACTGAGCTACAGGAGAGCAAGAAGTCTGTGGAGGAGCAAGTGGAGACCCTGAGGTCGCTAAAAGAAGCTGCTGAGAAACCTGAAAAAGAAGCCAAGGATATCCATCAGAAAGCCTGGGAGGGTGAGTGCACTTCTACCATACGAGGGGATTTCATGGCACTGAAAGCCTCTGTGTCAGACAACAGCCTCGTTTTTAAAGCAGAAGAACTTGTGGTCCTCCAGATGTTGTTGAATTACAGCTTCCAGAATCCCTGATCATTGGCCATGCTGCCTTAAGATGGATAGGAGTTGGGAGTCCCATAGCAAACAGGTGGCCACAGATTCCCCACCCCTGCCTTAATAGGAGGTTAGACAATGATGGATGGGTTTTCAAGCAGCTATAAGCTATGAACCGGAGCTTCTGTATTCAGATACATAGCGCCTAATACCCTCATGTCCTGGAATGGCTTCCTGGAAGTTTCTGTCTTGCCACTGATGGGGAGATGGGATGCTAGAGTTGCAGCTGGATGTGCCTTTGTCTGCGCTGCTCACATTCTTAGTTCCAAGCCCAGCTCTTGCAGGGGCTCGGGGTGTTTGCCACGTTAACAGTTCAGCATGGTAAAAGCAACACAATGAAATGCTTGGGTGAAATACTGTATTTTTCGTCCCATAGGACGCTCCGTCCCATAGGACGCACCTAGTTTTTTGGGGGGGAAATAAAGGAAATTTTTTTCCCCTTTATTTCCCCCCCAAAAGCAGGTCGGGGAAACTGAACCAGGTCGAGGAACAGTGGGATGACGCCGCTGCGCCTCCCTGCTGTCCCCCGAGCTTGTGGGGCTGGCCGATGTCTGCCCGACGCAAGGGGCGCCCTGCTTCAGGGCGCCCCGCCCGCCGGGTGGCAGGCTGCTATCTGCAGCGTGGGGAGCCCTGCGGGGAACTCTGGCAGGGCTCCCCACGCTGCGGAAGTATGCCCGGCGCGAGGGGCGCTCTGCTTCAGGGCGCCCCGCCCGCCGGGCGGCAGGCTGCTATCCGCAGCCTAGACAGCCCTGCGGGACCTCCCGCAGGGCTACCTAGGCTGCGGATGTGTTCCCGAAGCGCCGGGCGCTCTGCTTTCAGGGCACCCGACGCTCCGGGAAGCAGGCTGCTATCCGCAGCCTAGACAACCCTGCGGGGCCTCCCGCAGGGCTGCCTAGGCTGCGGATGTGTTCCTGAAGCCTGGAGAGCGAGAGGGGTCGGTGCGCACCGACCCCTCTCGCTCTCCAAGCTTCAGCGAAAGCCTGCATTCGCCCCATAGGACGCACCCAGATTTCCCCTTCATTTTTGGAGGGGAAAAAGTGTGTCCTATAGGGCGAAAAATACGGTACTTAGTGCTGCATTCAGAAATGGATTGAAATTATCCTGCACCTGCTTAACACCGGCCATTAAAAACAGACCAATATGAAGCTGTTGCAACACTTCTGGAAGATGTTTGGCAGGGCTTCAGGAAGAGGGAGCTGCACAGTTCTTGGGTAGTCATCAAGCCACTTAAATTGCTTTTCATCTTTGTACGTTGTCATGTGTTGAGAATGAATTTGAAATGAAAGATAAGCAGAATAAATGTTGGGCATGACTCTCTGTTCCCTTTTTCTGTTAGGGCATGGATGGGATGTGTTTTCTTGGTGGTTCTCAAAGACTGCATTTATCAGGCAAATAAGTCTGCAGGGTTTTAGATTTTAATACATGTGTGTCTACCTTATTGTTTCATTGGAATGTGTGCTTTAGGGACAGGATTTGAGGTGCACAGAAATCCTAAAGCTGTTCTCCTAGTTGTAGAGAAAAGATGACTTTAGAAGTTATGCAGGGAAGTTATTTTGGTTTTTTTGAATGAATGAATGAATGAATGAATGAATGGAACTTGTTATTTGCCCACTTTGCAACAGAACAGAAAGCGGCCGAAAGAGCAGCGAGGGATCAAGCCAAAGCAGAAGAAGCCTTTCACGAGCTGGATGATGATGGAGATGGAGTGTGAGTCTGAGATGATTCCCCCTTTCAGTAGCTTGTTCACAGACTCTGTCATCTGTGGTCAAAGGCATGTGGCAGGACAGATGTTGATCCAGCTGCTGATCCCTTTGTGTTCTGACGTCAAATTCTAGCGCTTAACTATTCCTGGATTTATTTGGAGCAGAGGAGCACTTATTGTTACCATCTCAAGGGCCATGTTGGCTCAGGAGGCATTAATTGTCTGTAAGACGTTTCAAACTGGTGAGAGGGCACAAACCCAATCCCATTGCTCTGAGACAAGATACCCTGTTAATTAAAAGCATCCCTAAGTGATGCTTCAAGTCTTCAAGCAATAATGAGGGCTAAGAACTTGCTCTTTTCTCTAAAATGAAAGCTAGGAACCTTGGAGTACACATGCCACAGGGACTGCTATATCAGTCTTTGTGTATGCAGAGTTGTGAAAGGCATGGCTAGTAACCTAATTGCCCTCCTGTGCCTTCAGGATATCTGTTGCTGAGCTCCAGACGCACCCTGAGCTAGATGCAGATGGTGATGGGATCCTTTCAGAATCAGAAGCCCAGGTATGGTGGGGAATGTGCACTTGTAAAAGGAGGCTTTTCTTCTCATGCAAGCAAAAACAGCTGTTCATGGTTATCCTTCGTTCTTTCTGCTTTCATGCACTTCCTGTGCTTCGCGGTTCTCTTCCCTCTCCCACCAAAAGCTAGGTTAAGATGTGACCACTTGACATTTGGAGTAGGGCTGGAGTCTGGGACTAGACAGTGTTGTAGATCAAAACAAGAGTGTCCAAATACTGCCAGGCTGTGAACTCCCCCCCCCCCATTGGTTAGAAGTCACTTGCTGGGCTTGGGGGTATATTGGGGTGGGGGAAGATGTCAGTAGGCATTCTACTGAAGACACTCTGCTTTAGTTTACTGTTTTCCAGCAATTCCCAATATGTCCTGTGTGTGCTCAATAGCTCACTTCCTTTGTCAGATTTTTCTTGGATCTTTTATTAGTACAGTCATACCTCGGATTACAGACGCTTCAGGTTGTGTTTTTTCGGGTTACGGACCCACCAAAACCCGGAAGTACTGGAACAGGTTACTTCTGGGTTTCGTTGGTCGTTCATGCGCAGAAGCGCTACATTGCGCTTTGCACATGCGCAGAAGTGCCAAATCGCAACCCGCACGTGCACAGATGCGCTGCTGTGGGTTTTGAATGCTGTGGGTTGCGAACGTGCATCCCACACGGATCACGTTTGCAACCCGAGCATCCACTGTACTGCCCCAAGACCTTCGGGTATAGGGCAGTATATAAATTCAGTAAATAATAATAATAATACTTGAACCTTTAGTGCAGTGGTGTCTATCCAAAATCTTACTTTTAGACTTACGTTTCTCTCTTCTTGTACACTGTAAAGCACAATCTTCATTTTCTTGCCACCTTTTCAGCCCCAGTGATGAGAGGTGCACACTTAAGCGAAAGCTGGAAACCTTTGTAAAAAGAGTCATCCCATAAGTTCTTTAGAAGCTCCATTTTGCCTACCTGCTGACCTGAAAACTCAGGCGCTTTTCAGTGCAATGCTACAAGGGGTTTTCTGTGCCATTTGGGCGGATTGGGGGGATGACTAAGTCTGCTAGAGAAGAAGGGTGTTTCCTAGTTATGCAGCAACCAGTTATGTAGCCAATCACTAAGCTCTTGCCCCTTTCCAATATATCTGTCACTTTTCCTCAGCCCTGCCAGACCAGTTTTCACATATCTCAACCTTTTGGAATATTTATAATACTTGCAAAAGGAGAAAAGTAACCACAAATCCATGTGTATTTATCGCACTTGCTGAATTAGAGTTTTGAAGTTGTAGAATCCTGTCTTCCCATTGCTATCAGATTCTGACAGTTTACATGTAGGTTTCAAACAGTTTCAAATTTAAAGTGCATCAAGAATAACAAATCTAAGGAATGTATGTTTAAGGAAATTAGGCCATGGGAGAAAATCTTTCTATTTCAACTTCAGTATTTTCCCCCTTTTTACTAGTGTGTGATTTACCGTATTTTTCGCTCTATAACACGCACCCGACCATAACACGCACGTAGTTTTTAGAGACGGAAAATCCGTAGGCATGCCACCCGTAGGCATTCCCTCCATAACACGCACAGACATTTCCCCTTACTTTTTAGGAGGAAAAAAGTGAGTGTTATGGTGCAAAAAATACGGTATTTATTTAAGCCTAAGGTGTCCACAAGGTGGCAGTAACACTGAACCTGCTCTACTTTCAGAGTGTGTTTTTAGGCTCTTTTTGCTGGCTGCTGAAACTATTACTTTACATCATTTCTTCATCCCAAGGGAACCCATCAAGGCTATGGAAGAGACTGTGGAAATCCTCCCAATCTGTGTTCTTGGTTCTGTAGAGTTGCATGGTTGAGAGCATCACAAATGAGTTTCTTCCGCCAAAAGTGATTGGCAGAGAGAAGGGTACCTCTTCACACAATTCATAGTTAACTTAGGGAATTCAGTGTTTCATTGGTTTAGAGTGGGCAGATCTCCAGCTTGCAGAATGTGTTTCGTGGTCATTTTTACCAAAATCCCGTAAGCCACCAGCTGAAGCCAAATGCAATACAAATTCCCGGGCTCAGAATTTTTGTTCTTTCATACTAAAGTTGAATGGTGCATACAGTCTTTCCATACTCACTTTTGGTTATTCTAAGCTTTCTTCATTTCCACAGCATTATTTAGGGCAGAGCGGCGGGGTGTGTGTGTGTCATTTTGTTGCTAGGAGTCAGAAATCCTTGCCCATCTACAGTGGTATCTCGGGTTACATACGCTTCAGGTTACATACGCTTCAGGTTACACACTCTGCTAACCCAGGAATAGTGCTTCAGGTTAAGAACTTTGCTTCAGGATAAGAACAGAAATCGGGCTCCAGTGGCGCGGCGGCAGCAGGAGGCCCCATTAGCTAAAGTGGTGCTTCAGGTTAAGAACAGTTTCAGGTTAAGAACGGACCTCTGGAACGAATTAAGTACTTAACCCGAGGGACCACTGTACTGCAAATCGCCCAGCAATCTACCAGTACTGTAGATGCAAATCAGCTTCTGTCCACCCCTTGTTTAAGGGGTGTTACTTGCTGAAAGAGGGACGCGGGTGGCGCTGTGGGTAAAAGCCTCAGCGCCTAGGGCTTGCCGATCGAAAGGTCGGCAGTTCGAATCCCCGCGGTGGGGTGCGCTCCCGCTGCTCGGTCCCAGCGCCTGCCAACCTAGCAGTTCGAAAGCACCCCCGGGTGCAAGTAGATAAATAGGGACCGCTTACTAGCGGGAAGGTAAACGGCGTTTCCGTGTGCGGCTCTGGCTTGCCAGAGCAGCGATGTCACGCTGGCCACGTGACCACGTGACCCGGAAATGTCTCCGGACAGCGCTGGCCCCCGGCCTCTTGAGTGAGATGGGCGCACAACCCTAGAGTCTGTCAAGACTGGCCTGTACGGGCAGGGGTACCTTTACCTTTACTTGCTGAAAGAGCAGGGCCTGTCTTGTTTTTTTAATGTTTCTTATAAAAAATGATCTTGCACAGTCTGGCTTGCTTGAAAGGAATGCTACCCTCTTGTCTTTCCAAAATCTATCACCATTGTAGGGAACAGGAGGATGACTACTTGACTGATGCAGTGCATTGCTACTTAATTTGAACTGTGGGTTAGACCTGGGACATATGCAGCTGTGTATAAATACAGTTTTCCTGTTCTTTCAGACTTTACTGGACAATTCCTTGCAGGCAGATGTGGCCAGATTCCAGGACACTGTGTGGGCAGCGATCAAGGAGAAGTACAGACCAGAGGTCAGTGTGCCAACCTTGTCTTTCTCTACCACAGATCCAAATAGTTTGAATGACCTTTTCTGGGGAATTGATATCTGAAGCAGTTTTGTTCCATGCTTGGCTTGATGTCATTACTATACTTCAACTCTTAATTTTGTACATCACTTTCCGGACTATTCACTGTGTTCTGAAAACTTTCTGTGGTGGTTTCACATTTATTATGTATTCAATTTATATCCCACCCATCCTTCCTGAAGGAGCCTAGGTTACACAGTATAAATTATGTAGCGTTGGTATATTGTATGCTGCTTTGAATTCCTAGTTGGTTAGAAAGGCAGGATAAAAATGGTAAGCATAAGCAGACCGGTGCATTTGGCAGAACTGTTTGGACTGCAGAATTAGAACCATCTTGGCAGGCATTAATCATAGCTCCATCTGCAGCTACTGGAGAAGTGGGTCTTTCATGGAAAGGCAGGCCACTTTGGCTCTGGGAGTTCCTGAGTGACATCCATGGTAGCCATTCTCCCTTGCTCCTCAAGAATTTCAAACACAGTTGCTAACTAAGGGCAGCCATCAGTTACAAGATGGGCTAAACTCAGCTTTTCCCTCTCCAGAGCTTGGTTGATGTGCAGCCCCCACCAAAAGGCCCATCAGATGAAGAGCCAGATACTCAGCCTGATGCCCACGTGGACCAGTTACCTCCTGATGACGATTATGACGAGGAGGAGGATGAAGATGAAGAACCTGAGGAAGACAGCGTTGATGAGGAGGTGAAGGTACTAAACTGAGTTTCTGGAGCCTACAACTGAAATATACAGGGATATTCTTCGCCCCCTATCCCTCTCCTAACTTAAATTTTACATTCAAGAACCCACACACCATAGGAAAATATATGTGTTTCTATTTTAGCACACTTTATTCTGAATACAATATTTGCATGTATGTTTGACTAGAGCGGAGCTGGTCATGGAGCAAGGTGTTGAGGGAGTGGCGTTGAGTAAAGAATTTTGCCCCAAAGCCTATAGAGCAGTGTTCGAAACTCCCATTGTTCCAGGCGCATTTTGAGACAGGGAATTTCATTACCGTGAGCAGTTTCTGAGCTCTGGGTGTAGTACTGCTAAGATTTCAGATTAAAACCGCAGTGTGGAAGGAAAGGAGGACCTTTTTCTGCTTCCAGCTGCTCTTAGAGACCCTCTTAAGAATATTAGGGGGGTGGGTAAGGGAAAGGACTAGACCATGTGGAAAATGAACATAATATTTTAGCTGCAGTTCCTTCATTTCCAGCTTTGCATTTGTGTTATAAGAAAAGCGTGCCTAGACATTCCGTTGTTGTGCCCATAACCTAGGTTTAAGGTGCCGTTTAGCTCCTAGCTTTCATATCTCAGTTTCTAACACTACTACAGAGGGTGGGTGGAAAAGTAGCCATGCTGGTAGCAGGGGCTCATCCCCTCCAGAGCTTTTTGCTGATCTTGGGATAGGGTGGAATATTAAAGCCTGACAAATTGCTATGCCTGGTGTAATGAGAAGAATGGCAAGTTGCTAGTACTACAGTTTCACACATAGAATTTTTGTTGCTGTTGCTTAACATTAGGAAGTACATGAGAATTCAATGCAGGTTCTCTGTTTGTCTCGCTCCCTCTGAGCCCCTCTTATCCTCCAAAGCAGGGATGGGGAACCTTCCTCAGCCTGAGGGCTGCATTCCTTTCTGGGCACATTTCAGTCACACAAAATCATTCAGGGTGTGAAGCATGGCCGGTCCCCGCTTGTCAGTTTCTCCCAGTCTCCCCCTTCCCCTCTTGTTTATGGTCTATGCAGGCTGGTTTTTGAACTGGAAGTGACAATGGCCACCTGCTGCCTCAATGTCTCCACAGGTCCCTTCCCCCAAGCCATCGACTGATGTCAAGGCATCAGAAGATGAACTGGAGAGGATGCCCCCTTATGATGAAACCACACAAGCTCTAATTGAAGGTAAGCTATTCTTTAGTGAGCACCCTTTCAAATGCAAGAAACACCATGATTGTCTTTAGTACGTGCAGGCCTGCCCGTGAACTTGCTGTGTAGAAAACAGCTATTTTCCAAAAGGGGTCAAGTCAAAGTGGAGTCAACCAGCAATGGTACAAAAGAAAGTTACTGCTTTATTTCTTTCTGTTCAAATAAATGTCATAAAGAGGCTTAAGAACTTCAAGCAAGATGGATGTTCTACTAGGTCAGAAAACAAAAGCCATTTGCTCCGAGAGGAGGTGAGCTGCAGCTTTTAACACATGGCTGAAAATTTTGAGCTGCCTCATTTTGAGAAAGTTCTGGAAAAAAATCAGAGCTGTTCAGTATTTCTTTTTATCATGCAAGGAAGGTATTTGATCCAGTTGACCTTGTCCAACATGAGGTCCCATGAACACTTGATGCTGCTAACTGGTCATGTCTTGATTGCTGAGAGCTTTCTTCTCACACAGTAGTCAATGAGGCAAGCAGGAGTTTACAGGTAGCTGCTTACTTTAACAAGTATCTGAACATGAGAAGGAGAGGTGTGAAGTCAAGATGGGGCAAATCAAGCTGCTCTTAGAACGTGAGAGCCCTGCTGGATCAGTCTAGCATCCTGTTGCTGCAGTTGCCAACCAGATGCCCATGGGAAAACCTGAGCACAAGAGCAACTCTCCCCACTTACAATATCAAGCATCTGGTATTCAGAAGAATACTCTCCCCAACAGTGGAAGCGGCACATAGCCATCATGGCGTTTATCCACTGATAGCCTTATTTCTCTCCATTGGGGATGAGATGAGTGGTTTAATCCTGTCATGGAACCATCTAGTGCCTCGTGGGTGAGAAATGGGCATCATACAAACTTTCTGCATGGCACCAAAGAAGGAGAGAGGGACAGACCCAGATGTGTACACGTAGTTATGTATTTCACTAGCTGTATTCAATAATTTCCATAGCTCACCCTTTTGGCTACTCTCCATGCTGTATATTCAGTGTGTATTGATTTTTCTAAAAAATATTTCTGTATTTGAATGTTGGAGTAGAATCTTTTTAAATTTTTGCATTGCCTGACCATTTTTGCTCTGTTGGGAAAAATTGAGTCATGTCTATGGAAAGGGCAAAGACACTTTAGCATCACCTTGAGTCTAAATATAGCACGAGGCAGCGGGGGAGGAGGATGTTTGTGTTTAGTGTTCCAGTAAGTTCCTTCCAGATAGATGTCATCATGGAACCACCTTTGTTTAGCCACACCTCCACTTTCTCCTCCTGAATTCATGTGGCTTTCCAAGCCTTTGATACCCCAGTGAGGTGAGATAACTTCTTCGGCAGGGGTGGAGTGACCTCAGGCCCTCTAAGCCCTCTTTATCTGGCCCTTAGGATTCTCTGCAGGCCGCTCCTCCTCCCAAGGCTACTCTTCTCGGCCTAAACAGAACGTGACCCTGTACTGCTCAGAATACCTCTTGCCTGCTTGGATGGAGGGATGCAGATGTAGTAACCACAAACACTTGTGTGGCTGGACTATAGCCTACTGTACAGAGCAAAGAGTCATATATACAACTCAAGCCACCACTGGCATGTGCCCCCCCCCCCAAGAACCCATGAGATTGTTCAGGTGGGCATGTGACCCTTTGGCTGAAAAGGGTTCACCAACCTGCAGTTCAGCATCGTATTTTACTTTAATGTGAAGCTCTCTTTTCCAAGTGTCCCAGCTGTGCTTGGTCTTTTGGAAGACTGAGTTTACCCAAAGCTATTCTGTGACACCTTTTTCAGTAAGCCTGGGAAGGCGGAGCTTTGTTTTTGTTTTTTTTTTTTTTACTGTTGCTGAAATTTAGGCTGGGACTTAAAAGGAGCAGCAGACCAAGTTGACCCAGGGTGCTTGAGAGGTTCTTCCAAGTCCACCCAGTTTCCAAGCAGGATCTGTCGGTGCTGTAGAACGGAGCTTGTCAAAATGTACCAGACGTAGCCAAAAGCTGTTTTATAGCTGCAATAAAATGAACTGGGCAGCCAAAGGCATGTCTGCACTTTGTGTTCTGGGAATGCGCGCCATCCGAATAGATCACCGCCATTAGCATTGCTAAGCAGGCACCATTTCTCAGATATCTAATGTCCACGAAGCAAAAGGCAATCAATAGGCTGGACTTACTGTTTGAAGTGGCTCGCGTGGGCTAAAGGGGGAATAGCTCTGTTTGTGTTTTTCTCCTTGCAGCAGTGCAAAGCCATCAGAATGCACAATATGGACATGGGATTATGACATGTTTGTTTGCCTAACTTCTGATTTGCCTTTTCTTCCCTTCGCATTAGTTATAGGTACTGAAATGAATTAATTCTGCTTTTCAGTAATTCCAGCTAGTTGGGGAGTGGACAGTGACATATACTTCATACGTGGGGACAGTTTTCAGTTGACAGCCACTAGGTGGTGGTGGTGGTGCATCCCAGATTCCCATTATTTTGCATAAATTCTTCCAGAGAGGCGTGCCAAATTTGTTGTTGTTGTTTTGTTGTTGTTTTTGTTAATTCTAATTAAATTTGTATAGCGCCCTTCATTTGAAGATCACAGGGCAGTTCACAACAAAACTACAAAATGAGAACACATTTACTCCTTATCCTCCCAGCCCTTGTAAGGAGCTACTGAGGGTTGAAAGTCTGGGGCAACTTTTACAGATATTTGGGCATAGGTAAAGGTAAAGGGACCCCTGACCGTTAGGTCCAGTTGCGGCCGACTCTGGGGTTGCGACGCTCATTTCACTTTATTGGCCGAGGGAGCCGGCGTACAGCTTCCGGGTCATGTGGCCAGCATGACTAAGCCGCTTCTGGCGAACCAGAGCAGCGCACGGAAACGCCGATTACCTTCCCGCCGGAGCGGTACCTATTTATCTACTTAGACTTTGACGTGCTCCCTTGGCCAATAAAGTGAGATGAGCGCCGCAACCCCAGAGTCAGGCACGACTGGACCTAATGGTCAGGGGTCCCTTTACCTTATAATTTAATATAATATAATATAATATAATAAAGTCCTGGGCAGCAAGGTCACTTCAAATTCTTGTGCTCCATAGCTTCATTCCTCTCTGCAGAGGGCAGAGATGAGTGGCATCTCCTGCACTGCTCTTAAGCTGTTTCCCAGAAGGATAGAAATTGGCCAGTGGTTAGCTCGTGGTCTGCAGTAAGAAGGAAATGGCCCTTTTAGGTAGCTATTAATAGACTGAATTTGAGCCGCAGAGCCATCATTTCTTGTGTTCTCCCCTTCCTTTGGACAGGGCCCAGTGTTGAAGTCAGTTGCTTTTTCGCCATTTCTTGCTGCGGCTGTTGAATTTCCAGAGCATCTCCCATTTCATATATGTGAAAGGCCTCTCTGTGCTGGTTCCTTGCAAGCCAACTAAACTCCCTGGGCAAAGAGCAAATGTGCTTGCAAGGGGAAAGCAATGCAGTGCAGCTGGTGGAAATTTGGACCTCACTGGTGCAGTTCAGATCTCCAAGTCCTGCTCTCAGTCTGGGTTCTCCTATAAAATGGAATGAATACTAGCCAACTTGGTATTAATTTGATACCAAGCAATCAATGTTAGCACTTACCTGGCCTATTTCCAGTCACCCACGATAAGAAGTATAGACAAACAGACAAATATAGAAGTAGTATTTTTTCTTTACAGTCACTCGTGTATTTGATAGAAGTAACATCAACTCATAAGTCAACACCCGGCTCGGGCATCACATAACTATCAGTAGTTAGCATGCCAGAGCTTTGTTCGTTATCAGAATTAATCAGACAAATTGCTCCACCAACTAAGAGCAGCCATGCGCCACCACTCCCAAAATCGAGAAAGAGCTATCAATCTGTCAATTTTTTCTGTGTCTGGGTCAGGTGAACTTTCCCATGTAGTGCATGGCCATTCTTAGTTGGATAGAGCGATTTGTCTGGTTAATTCAGATAACGAACGAGACTCTGGCATGCTAACTAGTTATGCAACCCCCAAGCTGGGTGTTGACTTACGAATTGATGCTACTATCAAATACATGAGTTATTGTAAAGAAAAAGACTACTTCTATATTTGTCTGCTTGTCTGTACTCCTTACTGTGGAGCACTTGTCCTTGGTGATATATTTTTCTGTGCCTTTGCATTGTGCTATTCTATCACCATCCTCTGCATTGTCTGTTCAATTTCTAGTCATGTCGCAGTTAACTGGGCACTCTAATCTGCGTTCATACTTACTCAATAGCAGCTCAATAAAGCATAACTAGTGATGAAAGGCCTTAAACTCAAGATTGTCCCTGAAATGCATCTTAATTGGTGTACAGTGCTTCATGTAAGCCATGTTATCTTCATACGGAAGATAATATTATTCAGAAGAAAAGAAAAGAACCTTGAAACAGTGCAACATGGCAATATAGAAAACATTATAGATTGCAAATTGTATAAGAATAGCATTAACAATCAGAGTTCTTCTTACCCTCCTTCTGATTTCCCCCAAACCATCTAGTTGTGAAACAGAATTTCTGATCTCCCCTAGCATGTTGGCATTCTGATATAAAGGTCATAGTTAGTCATCCAAGGCTATGGGCCAAGGTCCTGTGGCCTTCAGCTGAGCACATGAGGTAGAGTTGGATAGATAGTGAGCAGAGAAAGAGAGTATGAATCCTTGAGCACCTTTTATATTGATCAGTAGCTGGGTCGGGAGGATGGGTGAGTTTCATGAAATACTTAGGTGAACCACTGTAAGAGAGAAATCGTGGATTAACATGTGGGGGAAAGTTTTAAAAGGCAAACGGCATCCTATTTGTGCTGATAATATGACCTCGTATTTCATCTTACTGTCATGCAAGATGCCAGGGACTCGCACGTCTGCCACTGAGAATCAGCCGAACAGCTCCCAGCAGCTTGCGCATGAGTGGCCCAGAGTTGAATCTTTCCATTCTCTTCATCCACTTTTGTCCATCATGGCTGCTGTACAGTTTGCTGAAGCTTGCTGTAGTGGGTTGTTTACAGGCCTTGCAGGGTCCTGATTTACACCTTGCAGAATTGCTACGGGGTTGTAAAGGTAAAGGACCCCAGTTGCAAACAACTCTGGGGTTGTGGCGCTCATCTCGCTTTACAGGCCGAGGGAGCTGGCGTTTGTCCGCTCCGCAGACATTTTTCCGCAGCATGACTGAGCTGCTTCTGGTGCAACGGAACACCAAAACCAGAGCAGTGCACGGAAACGCCGTTTACCTTCCCGCCGAAGCAGTATCTATTTATCTGCTTGCACTTCTGGCGTGCTTTCGAACTGCTAGGTTGGCAGGAGCTGGGACCGAGCAATGGGAGCTCACCCCCGTCGCGGGGATTCAAACCACTAACTTTCTGATTGGCAAGCCCAAGAGGCTCAGTGGTTTAGACCACAGCGCCACCTGTGTCCCTATGGGGTTGGACTGGTTTGATTAGCAGGGCTGGTTTAATTAAGAAGTGAACTCTGCAGAAAAGTTGGCGGGAGTTACGTTTTTCATTCAGTTTTGCAGCCAGGCTTATTTTCCTGTATGTCTTCCAGCTGCCCAGAAGGCCCGAGAGCAGTTTGAAGAGGTAGAGAAGTCCCTGAAAGAAATGGAGGAGTCTATCAGGTATGGCTTTGGGCTGGCAGCCACAGTCTCTCAAGGGTGAGGTGGGCTTCCCTCTGGAGGAGGGGCAGAACAGAATCCATGTCACTTGCAAGGGTAAGTAAAGTCCTTAGATCAGAGTTAGGGGGACCGAGTCTTGCTGGCAGATGTTACTGGTGAGCCAAGCTTGACAGGCTGGGAAGGCCTCTCACCTTTCAGTCACAATGGCATTGGGTGATGTTTTTGCCCCCATCCCCATTTGAAATCAAGCCATGTGAGCAAAGGCATAACCTGGGTGGAGCACGGAGCAAGGGCTTCGCTACATAATACTTTACAAGGACTGTTGCACACACCCCCTTTGTTTTTAGTTCAGCTTTGTCCTTACCTGCCTCATGCCTGATGTCATATATGTGATGTCAGACGTAGGGTATGGGGACATGGCTTGGCCAAAACAGCCTGGCATGCCAAACGGGGAGGATTGATGGGCCTAATTAGCTGTGAAGGCTGGAGGTTCCCTCACCCCTGCCTTGGGTGAATTCTCCTTGAGGCCTGCAATATTTCTTTCTGCTTGACACTGACCCTTCCCCGTTGGCTTCCAGCAATGGCAATTTGTACCCCCTAGCCAGCTGTTTGTGTGATTTCCCCAGACACCTAATGGTTTGGATAGGTAGTACACTTGGCTTCAGTAGGCAAAGTCTTTGGGGGGGGTGATGACAGGGAGGTCCTTTCTCCTGGACATAGCTGTCAACGTTTCCCTTTTTTAAAGGGAAATTCCCTTATTCCAAATCGGATTCCTCACAAGAAAAGGGAAAATTTGACAGCTATGCTCCTGGACCATTTTCATTGTCTTGGATCTAATCTATATGGCTTTTCCTCCTCCCTCTCTATCCCCTCCACCTCGCTACCCACCCTCTAAAGAAGAATGTGCCATTCTCCCCGCCCCCCCATTTAGTTAGGGGAGCTCAGCAAGCTGGTGTTTGAGGACCCATGTGCTAAAAGCAAGGTGTGTGTGCCCATGGGAATTCTGTTGAGAACCACAAGGGTGATTTTTAAAGAGTTAAAAGGGCTGGTTTTTAAAATCCTATCCTTTGCCTGGTCTTTCTTGCTGCTTCTTACTTTGTTAATGCATCCTCAGCTAGGATGTTAGGAGAGGTTACTGTTCATTATTTTACTGTGAAGATAAGAGCGCTTTGTACAGTTTCGCTCTAGGGGTTTGGGCATTGCTTTGATGCCACTTGCCATTCAAATTGCATCTCCCCCCACCTTTCCCCGGTCCCAGGTGGGGGAGGGGAGAAGGATAGAAGCCAAAAATAAATTTCAAGCTGTCTCCTATTGATTGCATACATAATTATTGCCGTAATCACGCCACTCCTGAGTTCTTAGGCTGGGAGGGCTGATGCAGGGAGCAGATGGGAGACCTCGGCATGCTTAGCTTGGCTGACCTTGGTGACAGACACTTCATTTAGCTATTGGGGGAGGATATATTTTGCTGGTTTCTGCCGCCTTCTCAGTGGAAGGGGATGTACAGTGGCAGAGGCACTAAATGGACCCTGTGACTTAGTGATTTCTGGCCGCATCTTCAGAGTCTCTTCACGTACCCATTGTGGCATGGTGGTATTTTTTGACGTGCTCTATTACTTTGCATTGACTCCCAGTCTGATAAGTAAGTATTACCAGCTGTTCCTTCCTTTCTCCACTTCATCTTCGGAATGGCTATAGTCACTTGCAAGTGGTTAGAATGGATGCAGGTTTTGTTGTGATACAGCGCATTGCTCAAGTCAACCAGCCAGTTCTTTCCGGCCAAAGGTTTTTGCACAATTTCTGTGCTCTGTCCCTGAGACCATTTACCCTGTTTCTTCTGACAAATCTTCCACTAGCTTGCTTGGAAGTGCAGCAGGAGCTTCTCTGTCCGAGAGGAGTGTGCTAAAATAAATCTTATTCCGCAAACTAGCTATGAAGGGCTTGTCTGAATGAACCTCTTGTTACATCTATTACTCTTCCCTATAAATATGTTGTTGTTGTTTTTAAGGAAGCTGAATAAATTATATAGATTAAATCTATGAAAATGTAATTTATTCCGGGCATAGTATTGCAGCTTCCTGTGCACTGACTTTAACATCATCTTAAGTGGAGAGTCTACAGATTTATTCCCCCCCCACACACACACACATCAAGGGCAGTCCCTGCAAGTACAGGCTGTGAGCTGCCCATGGGGGCGCCCTAGTCTGACCAAGACCTCTGAACAGGCTCAGGGACAATGCTGTAGCTTCTCATTTATTTATTTGCACAAATTTATATGCCGTTTAATCATAGAAGAATATGAAAGTGGTATGCATCAAGGAATACAATACATCAAATATTTAAAATATAGGCATCAGTGAGTAATAAACTGCTAAGATATATCTGGGAAAGCCTGATATTTAGTGTGTTACTGTTGCTGCTTTCCCAGTATCAATGGCCAATCTTAATATTCCTTGATGGGTAGGTCTAGGATAGTGGCGGAGAACCTGGTCCAGATGTGGGATTCCCAACTCCCATAGCTCTAGCCAGAGTTAGGGATGATGGGAGTTGTAGTCCAGAAACATCTGTCGGGTGCCCAGGTTCCTCACTCCTGACCAGCAGAGACTTTATGCCTCTGGAGCAACTTTCGGTTCAGAACATCGAAAGGCATAGAGGTTGCAAGCCTTGACAGCAGGCTCTGATTTCTGGAGAGAGTGTGCAGGCAGAGCGATTAAGCTGCTTCTGTCGTGAGCCGGAGTCCTTAGAAAGTATACAACTATGGCCACTCAGACCTAGGGTTTTTTCCCCTGAGTGTAAGTGTGTGCCATGCCTGCAGCACTTCAGCTGGCAGGAAGGGGCTTGCATGACCAACAGTTTATCCGAGCAACCTCCCCCAAGCCCCCGTCTCCACAGATAGGCAGCAAGCATGTCAAGGAGCTGTAGGCTAGAGCCCTTCTTTCTGATATGCTAGTTTCCTCTGCTCAGGAAAGGGTGTGTTTTGCGGGGGCAGGGGGAGTTGCGTGGAGGAACATTTAGTCATACGAGCCCCCCCCCCCCAGCCATCTGAAGTGATACAGCCAAAACACATGTTTATCCCCCCAGGGAGAACTAGGCCTAAAACAGCAGGTGCAAAACAAGAGCTTTAATTGAAGTCCCTCTTCAGAATTAGCTCCACATGGGGCATTTCCCACCCAGACATAACTCCGCTGCGCTTGCAGTGCAAACTGCCCCTCCCCACCCCAGGGAGATCTCTGGCTTGTCCCATTAGGAAGGCTTTTAAGGGGGTAGGGGTTGGAGAAAATGTGTCAGCTAAGTAAGCAGCTAATGGAAGTCTGGAGTCACAGCTGAGACCTGTTTTGTTGGTGTCATCTTTCCAAGCTCTCTCTTTTTTTTAAGTAATGAAAGGCATCTTTCCCTTCTAAAGGAAGGAGGATGTTTCATGGTCCCTTTTATTTAGGGCTATTACCTGCCCTCCCTTCAAAGTTTCAGCATGGCCGAGCATACTTGCTCACCCCTATCCTTAGAGTCTCACAGCCTTGAGTCGCTGCTACCTCACTTTTCCCTGGTTGCTGGCGGGGGGCTGTTGCAGAAAGAGAAAGTGGCTTAAGGCTCCGAGGCAAAGTCTGGGTTAGGACCTAAGTGCCCACCTTGGCATGTCCTGCCACAACAGACCGAGGGAGGGAGGAGAGGACAGGAGTTTTTCCTTCGTCCTAAAAGCTATGTTGATCAGACCAGGGCAAAGTGGCTGCTAAGGCAGGTCCTTTATTAAACAAAGAGCTTTGCATCTCTCTGTGCGCATGGGGGAGAGAGAGAGACCCGTAATTAGGAGTAGCCTTGGTGACAGGGCGGTAACCATGGGATCCAGCCTCCCCAACCAGTCCCTTTGCTGCTCCGTGGGGTCCCCTGGGAGGACAGGCAGATAAGGGCAAGGAACAAAGACAGCCACTTAACAAAGAGCTTGGGCAAAGGCCATTGACCCCTGACACAAGCTGGACTTGCCTTCCACCAGCGGGAGAGGGCGGAGGAGACCGATGCCAGGATAACACTTGACTCCTGGTGGTCAGTGAAGCAAAAGGGACCTGCTGCCACGCTGGCTGTCCTCTCTCAGCTCCCCGGCGTTGGCAGCTTGGGAGGAGCTGTAACTCAGGAGCGGGTAACACGGCCCTATGCCTCTTCACTGCAGAATCTGGAAAGCTTTTACCCACCAGGCCATGCTTCACTTAGATGAACCGTTGAGCTGGCTCAGCAATATGGCGGCATCAGTTCCTCTTGTTTTTAAAAAATCATTTTTTCATTTAAAAAAAAAAAGACAATTTGTGAGAAGCATGAAACGTTTTGCCATCTTTGTCTCACATCCGTCTCCTGCTGGCCTTTCTGGGATAATGTGTGTCCTGAGATGAGGTTTCACCTCCACAGAATGCGTGTATCCTGCAAAACCTTTCCTTGATTGCAACAGCTTCTTACTCTTTGTCCTTATGAACTGCATGGCCTCCCACCTCTGGAAATACCCCTTAATGTTATGAGTCTGCTGTCTAGAGAAAGTCACTTCAAGGCTGCCAGGAGGCCTGCCTGCTTGTTTTAAATTTCTATCCATGCTTCTTGTCGCTTAGGCACAACTCGGAGCAGCCTTCAGAATTTTCAAATCACAATATCCCATGTGATAAAATGTTCAGTTAAAAATACAACAAACACTTATTTCCTTCTCTTCTGGTCTTGGAACTAAAAGCCACATTTTTTCCTCATATGCTTTCTCTATATTTTGCTGTATATGTTAAGTAGTAGGAATTTCAAAGTATGAAGACAGATTTAGTGGTCAGAAATTCTCAGCCTTTCTTGACTGGATTACTTTTGCCTTCTGAGCAAAGCATCCCTCCTGTATTTCTGTTAAAATTGACCCAGGAGTATTCCAGTAACCCCCTAGCCCCATTAACCTTATTCCGTCAAATGTCCTGTTAGCCTGTGTGTAGTTTTTTCTTTTTAACAATGTCGCCTTCTTCCTTCCCTCCCCCAGGAGCCTGGAGAAAGAGATCTCCTTTGATTTTGGACCTCATGGTGAATTTTCTTACCTCTACGGCCAGTGCTATGAACTCACCACTAATGAGTAGGTGCCTGTGTCCCTTGCTTGACTATTTGTTTCCTCTGGGGAGTGGCTCTCTTCTCTCTGCTCAGCCCTATGACATCTGGAGTGCTCTCTTTGAACTGTGTGTCTTACAAGCCGTCACTCCAGAGGTGCCAAAAAGTAGGTGGGTGGCCTGCCCACCCGCCAGGGTTAGCCTGTAGAGCAGCAGGAGATGGAGATCTGGCCAAAAGGTTCTTTGTTCCTGTTCTTGACTGTAAGACGAGCATTGAAAAGGAAGCTGATTTTTACTCCCCAAAACTGTAGCTTGGTAGTATGGCAAATTCCTCTATAACAAGGTGGCTAGCTTTTGGCAAGCTTACTGGGACGGCTCAGGGTGAGAAGAAAGGCACCCCCTTCAAAACTGAAGATGGAAGGCTCCAAAATTGGAGCCAGGGACTCAAAATTTAGGCAGATAAGGCTCCATCAGAATTCATTTTTTACTAGTTCTTGGGGAAGTGAGGTTCTCCACTCAGAAGAGAAGAGGTGCTGTTCTTTGATCTAGATATACAGTTGTACCTTGGAAGTCAAACGGAATCCATTCAGGAAGTCTGTTCAACTTCCAAAATGTTCGAAAACCAAACCGTGGCTTCTGATTGGCTGCAGGAAGCTCCTGCAGCCAGTCGGAAGCCCAGTCCGCCGTTTGGCTTCCAAAAATAGTTCACAAATCGGAACAGTCACTCCCGCGTTTGCGACGTTCAGGAGCCAAAACATTCGAGAACTAAGCTGTTCAAAAACCAAGGTACGACTGTACAAATAACTGCTCTTGAATGTTCATTATAGCTTCTAAACCGGATCTTGTATTGAGGGTCAAAGTTTGGTTTGGGTTCAGCCCATGTCCCCCAATATTTTGAATGATGCCTGGAATTTGGGTGCCTCTTGACCCTGATGTTGGTGATTGGGCAGGATAGCTTTGCGATGTGAATGTTCTTAAGAGGCTTGCAGTTCTTTGGAGCAAGGTTGGGGAATGTGTCGCCTTCCAGATGGACTCCAACTCCCATTGGGCCCAGCCAGCATTGCCCGTAGTTGGGAAAGATGGGAGTTATGGCCCAGCCCTTTAAGCTCCTGTTCTTAGTTGGGCTTCCTTTGTGCCATGGGCTATACAGTAGGAGATGCCTTGTAGAGAGGGGACTAGGGGACAAGCAGAACTCCTTGTAAGAAGAGTTATCATAGGCACCAGTGTTCCACCCCACCCTGATAATTAAGCAGGAGAGTGTTGCCTTCTAAAGCTCGTGTCATAGCACGCCAGCTAGTGCAGTAGCTGCTGAGATATTTTGAACTACAATTCCCGACAGCCTCAGCCAGCACAGCCACACACCTGTAATCACCTGATGTCACCATGATGTTTCCCTTTGGAGACCTGCTTAACATCGAACAGACCTGCAAAGAAAAAATGTTTCTTGGCCTGCACAGTTTGATTTTTTCCAGTCAGAAACTTGCAACTGGAGACAATCCCAGCTGGCTTGCATTTGATAGCACATTTTGATTCCATGCCGAATGCAATCACCACTTGGAAGCTCTGATCAGGGTCTCCCGAGTACAGCAGATCACAGCGGGGCTGGCATTTGGGGCCAAATTTAAAAGGGGCCAAACGCAGGCGCTGCTTGCAGAAGAACCATAGAGAGTGCACCAAAAAGCTCCTGATTTTCCTGTGTAGTGGCACCATCATCCACCCTAGACCTGGTGTCATATGGGTTAGAGGGAAAGGGCCATGTGGTTCAAATTAGGACTCCTGGTGGGCCTAATTTGATTTGGTTGGCAAGTTGGAGGTTCCCCATTCGTTCTTTACTTGATAGACCAATAAGACTTCTATTCTGGATGCTCAGTATTTTTCCTTGTAAGCAGATCACGTTTAAAAGGTTGCACACAGTTGTATTCTGCGTGTTTCAATGGGAAGCTCATCACGTACATTCTTAAATCTCTGGTGTTGATAGCAAAATAATCTTGGAAGCAAGGGATAGATTGGGGGCCTAGTCTTCTTCCTGCCATGCTTTCCCATTCCATCTAACCCCGAGCAGTATCCTTTCCAAATATATTTTGCCTTGGGTGCCATCGTTTTAGGAGCCAGGTCTAATGGTCTAATTATCGGCACTTCAAAGCAGGGATCTCATGGATTTCTTTTATGCTCTTTTCCTCCTCAGATATATTTATCGCCTCTGTCCCTTCAGCAGAGTGTCTCAGAAACCCAAACATGGCGGCTCGGAGACCAGCCTTGGGTAAGATTATGGGTAGGCAAACTAAGGCCTGGGAGCCAGAGCCGGCTCAATCGCCTTCTAAATCCGGCCTGCAGATGGTCTGGAAATCAGTGTGTTTTTACATGAGTAGAATGTGTGCTTTTATTTAAAATGCATCTCTGGCTTATTTGTGGGGCATAGGAATTTGTTCATTCCCCCCCCCAAAATATAGATAGATAGATAGATAGATAGATAGATAGATAGATAGATATAGATATAGATATAGATATAGATATAGATATAGATATAGATATAGATATAGATATATATAGATAGTCTGGCTCCCCCACAAGGTCTGAAGAACAGTGGACCGCCCCCCTGCTGAAAAAGTTTGCTGGCTGCTGGGTAAGAGACTCCAGTGCTCCAGGATTCGACATGTTTCACTACAGTCTGAGGTCACTGGCCTCCCAAGCTAAACAGGGAGATGTTGCAGTGTTTTAGTGACTAAGCAGAGGCTGAGCTACAGATCAGGAAGTGTATAGTTTGAACTTTGGCTTTGCTCTTCAACATGCTAGGAGGCCTTATGCCAGTCAAACTCTCAGCCTTAGGACACCTTGTGACAATCCTCATCTTGGGGGTGATGATACTGATGTACCTTACAGGGCTGTAAGGGTTAGGATTGCAACCATGATGATGTACATCAGGCACTTTGGCTAATCTGAAACACACACCTCTTTGCCCTGGCTTTTGACACTTGAGGTGCGTATTTTTAGGACCCACCTTATTTCTGTAACTGTAAGTTGTTTTCATGTTGTGACCCGCCCTGAGACCTTAAGGTGGAGGGCAGGTAATATACAAGGAATAAAATAATAATCATCACTACTATCAGTATGAATAATAAAGCCCTGCCCCTTAGCATCAATCAGTGTAAGAATACCTACTCAATTAGAAACGGGGAAGAAAACTTCATGTGTGTCGTGTGCTGTTTTAAAAACACCTTGCTGCCTATTTTAACTTCCTGAAAATGGTCAGCTGTGCTGATAGGACCTCACTTGGTGGCTAGATCCTTGCCCCCGAGACCAGCCCACCCTGGAGCAGATTCATCCTGTGTAGAAGTGGCTCCATCTGCTTCTAAACGTTCCCTAAGGTTATGATTAGCAGGGGCTACTTTGGGTGCTCTGAGTTGTTGCTTCCTTTCCAGCACGTGGGGCTCCTGGAGCGGTCCAGAGGATAACAAATTTGGTGTCATGAAGTACGAACACGGGACAGGCTGCTGGCAAGGCCCCAACCGATCCACCACAGTAAGTGATTGACGTAGTCCTGAGAGACCAGGAAGCTTGGTCAGGTGACCAGCAAGATACAGCTGCCTTTTCAAGGCCCAGCAGCAATGAAGTGGCCTGTCACCCAGATGACAGTATGCCTCCCTATCTTCAGGCTGCGTGAAGCTGCTTGGTTTCCAGCACACCCAAGTTCTGGCTCAACTGGAACGGAAAACCCCAAACCTTTATTTTCTACTCCCAAGCGTGCCCATTTATGTGGACTCCCTGATCCCAGTCAGTGAAGGAAACCTAGTTGAGAGTGGGAAGAGGGCAGTTCAACAGAAAAGGTGCACTTTTTAAGAAGTAAGTAGGAAGCAGAGTTGGCTGCCTGTTGGAACATCTGAAAGTTTGGGGCTGGGCTGCCAGTTTTAGCAGACCAGCCTGAGGGTCTGGAACGTGTCCAGAGGAGGGCAACCAAAATGGTCAAAGGCCTGGAAACGATGCCTTATGAGGAACGGCTAAGGGAGCTGGGCATGTTTAGTCTGGAGAAGAGGAGGTTAAGGGGTGATATGATAGCCATGTTCAAATATATAAAAGGATGTCATATAGAGGAGGGAGAAAGGTTGTTTTCTGCTGCTCCAGAGAAGCGGACACGGAGCAATGGATCCAAACTACAAGAAAGAAGATTCCACCTAAACATTAGGAAGAACTTCCTGACAGTAAGAGCTGTTCGACAGTGGAATTTGCTGCCAAGGAGTGTGGTGGCGTCTCCTTCTTTGGAGGTCTTTAAGCAGAGGCTTGACAACCATATGTCAGGAGTGCAGTGTGGTGTAGTGGTTAAGAGCAGTGGACTCGTAATCTGGGGAACCGGGTTCGCGTCTCTGCTCCTCCACATGCAGCTGCTGGGTGACCTTGGGCTAGTCACACTTCTCTGAAGTCTCTCAGCCCCACTCACCTCACAGAGTGTTTGTTGTGGGGGAGGAAGGGAAAGGAGAATGTTAGCCGCTTTGAGACTCCTGAAGGGGAGTGAAAGGCGGGATATCAAATCCAAACTCTTCTTCTTCTTCTTCTTCTTCTTCTTCTTCTTCTTCTTCTTCTTCTTCTTCTCTGATGGTGTTTCCTGCTTGGCAGGGGGTTGGACTCGATGGCCCTTGTGGTCTATTCCAACTCTATGATTCTATGATTCTAGGGGATGGGGCAATGACTGTGGTTAAGTCATTCATTCATTCCTTGCCTCAGTGATGTCCTAGGATTTCCCTCGGTATTTTTTAAATAAATAAATAAATTTTATTAGAGTTTATAAATACAAAACTTAATCTCAAATATATTTTTTGTTCAACATTAAGATAAAAACAAAAAAGAAAAAGAGAGATAAGAAAAAAAAATAGGAAAAAGCTTTCAAGAGAAAATAGAAAAGATACAGTTCAGAAATTAGAGAACTTCTGATTCTTCGTCTGTCAGCTATATATAAACAATAACCACTTCATCCATTCCAACATAATATTAGGATTTCCCTTGGGAAGATTTGATGGATGAGGGATTTTTGTGTGAGTTCAGGATCAGGCTGATCTGCCTTGCTTGGATCAGAGTAGGAATTCTCCCATCCCACACTGAACAGGCCCAGTGATTTGTCTCATCTGGCAGAAACTGGTTGGCTGACACTGTTGCTAGTACGTTGTAAAGCTGGTGTGGGGAACCTTTGGCCCTCCAGGTGTTGCTGAACTACAACTCATCCATGTCTGAAAGCATGGTCAACAGCCAGGGATGATGGGAGTTGTAGTTCAGCAGCATCCCCAAGGAGTGACCAAAGAGGTTCCCCATGCCTGTTGCAAAGAAACGACAGTGGGTAAGGGAGGGTTTATGCCACAGGCAGCGGTAAATGCGATGGGCTCCTGCACAGCAGCTGCAGTCCTAAGCCACAGACTCCATAGTGGGTAGCCAATGTCCTGTTTTCTCTCCTTCCAAGGTGAAACTTACATGTGGCAAGGAGACAGTGGTCACATCGACGACAGAGCCCAGCCGCTGCGAGTACTTGATGGAGTTTATCACCCCAGCAGCCTGCCAGGAGCCAAAAGACCTCGGTCACGATGAACTCTGAGGCTGGCAGGTGAGTTCCTTTGTCAAGTCTCAAGATGACACGGTAGCCATGGGCGCTGGCAGACGGGGAAGGAAAGCCATGTTCTAAGTAGTGCAGACTAAAACGTTTAGTTTGGCAGCAGTTACACATTGGAACCCCCTGCCTGTTGACACTGGGCAGGTGTCCTTTAATCCCTTACTTTTGCTTTTAATAATTACCAAAATGTTTTTAATTGTGCTTGCTGTTTTCATTGATAATTTTAATATTTCTTGTAAACTACATAGGTTTTTTAATACAATCAAGTGGTGTATAAATTTTGTGTGCGTAAAGAAAGTAAATAAAGCCCCACCAGGAAAGGGGAGCAGAGTTTTTTTGAGAAGGTTCCACCACCCTTTGCACAACTTGGCAACTACCCAAGATCAGGCCATTTGGGAAGTCGCTTGCCTCTCTTGCCCCCTTCTCCTTAATCAGAACTTATTTTTTTAATGTATTGAAGGAAGACCAGTGTCTCTGTTCCCTTGGCTGATTTGTCCTGTCTGTGATTTCCCCCCTGCAGATTTGCAAAAGAGCTGTTGTCAGTGGGACCAGGTTCTAATCGACATGATTCAAAGAAGCACTGCAAAATTTACTTCTCTTCCCCCCCTGGGGCTGCCCCACATGGACCCCCGACATCCTTTCTCCACTGTTCGCGCTGCTCTTCCTCAGTGGACTCTGGAGCTTTTGAATAATTATGTTTACCCTGTGAAACACTGGGGATTGAGTGTGCCCCCCCCCTTTTTCCTTCCAGGGCACCATCTGCCCAGATCATGCACAACACACAGGACTGCTCAGCTGCTTGGGCCATTTTCTTGCTGGGGAAAAGGCTTCCTCCGCCTCTTAACGGTTGCTTCTTTGTGGGGGAAGAGCCCTTACTTTTCAGCCATGCAGAGACTTCAGGCCTTTTCCCCTGAAGCTCTTCTCTCCTGCCAGCATTTTCTGTTCCAAGCCAGATTTCCACTCTGTCTGAGACAGCTGAAAGAAGACGACTGGGAAAAGAACCTGCTCCTTAGCTTGCCCCCTGCACTGCCAATCACAGCCTGGTTGTTGTTGTTTTAATCTGCTGTCTGATGTTGAACTCTTATTAAAAAAAACACCACACCACCACATTCCCTTCCAATAAACGTCTCTGCTCTCTTCTGTCTGTGGCCTCAAAGGTGAGATTCGGAGAGTTGTTTGGAAGGGGTTGTATGAAAGGGGGGTGGCACAACATGGCCAGTTTTATGTCTGCCTTCCGTTCATGCAGCTGTTCTCAGTGGCCTCCGCATGTGCCATTTCTCCAGGAGGGGCTGGCAGAAACCTCGACAGGATGCATTAGACCTAACAGACCCTCCTCTTCCTTCCTCCTCCCCCCTCCACCTTTGGGGAAGTGGGCCTCCCAGGGCTGCTATGCTCCTCTTGATAAAGGTTTTGGGGGAGGGCAGCGCTGGCGCCTTTCACCTGCTCCCCTCGATTGCTGTCAAAGCCGGAGCATTTCCATAACAAAAAGGGAGGCGACTTCCCTCCCAGCCACCATTGTTTCCCATCTGAGCTCCTATCCCAAAAGGCGCCTGGTGCTGGGAAGAGGGGGTTGGGGGTAGGTCTGACAAAAGGCCCCTCTGGCGACTGGGGACACGTTTACTGTATGGGTTCAGCCTCCCCTGGGCAAAGAAGCAGGGAAGCATGTGCAGTTGGTTATCGATGGGGGAGGGGCACACCACCTCACCCCCCCAATCTTTCCAGAGGGGAAAGGAGGTGTTTCTCCCACACCCATGGGGTGACGTAGGCGGTTTCTGCTGGCGAAACAAGACATTAAATGGAAGCATCTGTTCTCAAACCAGATCTCAACTGGTGTGTGTGTGTATGCGCACCCCTCAGTTCCCTTCCTTTGGATCAAATCCTCTGATCGGTGAAGGATGGATGGGCGAGACTCTTGTGCCCCACCTCCCACAAGCACCATTCATTCCCCCCACCCCCCGAAACACACTTCAAGTAAACTTGACTCTCGTGCACAGGGCAAAACCTGAGTTAGCACCTCTTCTACCAACCCCATTCATTTGCTTCTATGCTTGGTTGCCACAGCGTGACAAATAGACCTCTTTTTTATTTATGCTAACAAAATGTCCCTTCATAAGGGGTGTTTTCATTGTTCCTGTAAGAGAGATTTAAATATGCAGAGTGTATCTGTTAGTTTTTCCCAGTAGTGATGTATGGAAGTGAGAGCTGGACCATAAAGAAGGCTGATCGCCGAAGAATCGATGCTTTTGAATTATGGTGCTGGAGAAGACTCTTGAGAGTCCCATGGACTGCAAGAAGATCAAACGCATCCATTCTTAAGGAAATCAGCCCTGAGTGCTCACTGGAAGGACAGATCGTGAAGCTGAGGCTCCAATACTTTGGCCACCTCATGAGAAGAGAAGACTCCCTGGAGAAGACACTGATGCTGGGAAAGATGGAGGGCACAAGAAGGGGGCGACAGAGGACGAGATGGTTGGATAGTGTTTTCGAGGTTACCAGCATGAGTTTGACCAAACTGCGGGAAGTAGTGGAGGACAGAGGTGCCTGGCGTGCTCTGGTCCATGGGGTCACGAAGAGTCGGACACGACTAAACGACTAAACAACAACAATCTGTTAGTTGGGACAAACCATCCACTGCAACATCTCTCAGGTACCAGTGTTCAGTTCCCCCCCCCCCACATAAGTGCATTGTGACCACTATAGAAGAGTTTGGGCAAACCGCTGGGAATTGAGATTAAAACGGGCTTCAGTCTCTGGACGAAGGATCAGGCTTTGTTCCTTTGCTGTATGTTAACTGCTTCCTGTTTACTTTTTCTCATAGAACTCAAATGGGATCCACTGCAGGTAGACCCCCACCAACTGCAGAGCCCGTCTCAGTGTTGTTTCTTTTCAGTTGTATGACAGACCACAGGTGCCACCTAGTTACTACTGCTGACTCCCCCAGTACGTTTGAGTAACCCAGAGTAAGTGGAGCATTTGCTTCAGTAAATGTACAAGCCTGTATATTGTGTGTGTCTATCCCAACAGTTAACAGCCATGAGAACATGCATGGCTGCGTCCTTTGATTGCATGAGCCAGCCGAGATATACAGTGGTATCTTGGGTTACAGACACTTCAGGTTACAGACTCCGCTAACCCAGAAATAGTACCTCGGGTTAAGACCTTTGCTTCAGGATGAGAACAGAAATCGCATGGTGGTAGTGCGGTGGCAGCGGGAGGCCCCATTAGCTAAAGTGGTGCTTCAGGTTAAGAACAGTTTCAGGTTAAGAACAGACCTCCAGAACGAATTAAGTTCTTAACCCGAGGTACCACTGTACTTTCTCCTCCCTGGCTAACACAAAATTTACAAGCATTCTGGGACTTTCCCATCATGTTATGCAAGCCAGCCTTCAATCCAAAACAGACTTTTTGCACTCTTTTCATATTATATGTGTAAAAGCTAAGGTAAAGGACCCCTGGACGGTTAAGCCTAGTCAAAGGCGACTGTGGGGTGTGGCGTATGAATATTAACACTGCGCTGTGTCCCAGTACATCAAAACACATCTGATTTTTGGGGGTGTTTGTGTGTGGTTAAAGTGCTTCTCAGCCCTTTTTCTCGCCTGAAAACATTGCTTCGCTTCTGAAGCAACTGTGGGCATTTGTTCTGATGTAGATATGTAAATTATACACTCTGCCAAAATATTTGTTGGCAAGAGGAGAGAGATGTTTGCTTGCGAAGGGCACAGGACTTTTTTCCTATTCTGAACGACACACAACAGTTTCTATGGATAATGTGTGCTTTGTTGGTGCCTTCCGGGAGGGAGGGCAACTTTTATCATGCCCTGTCCTGCCTTGCTAGAATTCTCTATCACATAAACAGACAAAAGGACTCTCATAAGATTCTGAACTTTTTATTTTCTGGCATGAAAAGTACAAATAATTAAACAATTCCATGTAAAAGATTCATACAGCCGCCGTGCCTGAAATCCCAGTAATAAATATTCTAAACTAAATGCAAAGTGTCATTTTTTTCTTTTTTTTAACAGCAGTTTTTTAAACCCTTCCCACATCAACAGACTCTCTCATGATTTATTTTTTTTAATATTGTTTTTAAAAACTGTCCCAATACACATGTGAAGCTTAAAGAGGCTCTGGGGGCCAGGTGCTCCAGGCCTGTCATCTTTTCCCCTGAGCCCCACCATGCCCCATGACTAAATACATTGGTGGGGAGGGTGGAGGGCATGTAAAAAGGTTATTAGGATCTCGCCATTACAACAGACAGACAATTCTTTAAACCCTCTGCTCCCTTCAATGTTGCACCCTAAGCCATCATTTGGAAGCAAATTTGCCTAGCAAACATAAGGAAATGCCACGAGCCCCGCTCGCTCGCTCGCTCGCTCTCTGGTGTCTGCCTTCGTTGGCATGCAGAATTCTCTCTCCCTCCCCACCCCTGCTCCAACCCCCATTTCAATCCACTTCGCTTTTTTTTTATTTTTTAGTAAACTCAAACTGGCACTTATTGCTACTTGAAAAAATATAGTCGAGAAGAGGCTAGATTGCTGTGACCATTTTAGAAGCAACAGATCACAAAGAGAATTTTGTTTTGCCACTAAATGCCCTCGTCGAGATGCAGGGAAGGGAGTCAGATGCAGGGGTGTGGTTGCGGGAGGAGAAATTAACCAGGATCTGAGCCGGCTAGCCAAAGGAAAAGTGTCTTGACCAAATTAGCTGGAACCGGAGGCAAAGCTCTCTAAGGTAGCTGTGCTTTCCAATTTGCAGCTTAGCTCAGTGGCTCTGTTTCAGAACAGTTCTTTAAGCACGCAAGTTATTTCGGTGGCTGCATGGTCTGCAAAGGGAGCCAGGCTCTAGGCTGTGTTGTGGCTAGCAAAAGAATTTCAGTGGGTTTCCATTACCCACCCACCAAGAGAACTTTGTAGGGGTGGAGTTTTTCTACCTTTTCCACTCCCACTATCATGTTTACGCTTCTCCCTGCATATATTGAGTGGTATTGAGAAGAGAGGACTTGATACAGCTACAGGACTGCACTATTTTTCCTGCTCTTTAAGCTCCAAGGCATGGGTAGGCAAACTAAGGCCCGGGGGCTGGTTCCGGCCCAATCGCCTTCTAAATCCAGCCCGCGGACGGTCCGGGAATCAGCTTGTTTTTACATGAGTAGAATGTGTCTCTTTATTTAAAATGCATCTCTGCATTATTCGTGGGGCATAGAAATTCGTTCATTTTTTTTTTCAAAATATAGTCCGGCCCCCCACAAGATTTGAGGGACAGTAGACCAGCCCCCCGCTGAAAAAGTTTGCTGACCCCTGCTCCAAGGCATCGCTCCTGTGGTCTGGAGGTGGGTTTGAATGCTGCCAAACAATTTTCAGAGAGGTCACTCTCCTGATCAGCACTTCCCAGACTCATGTACAGTTTGGAGCAGGGGTCCACTTTGGAATCCACAGCCCAGCGGATTTTGTGGCTAGCTAGTGTAAAGAGTTTGCAACATGACCTCTTTTCTAAGATTATTAAAGGCTAATCCCAGTGATAGAAGAGAACAGCCCAGGAACAGACCCGCCCACCCAGGAGTTCTTCAGCTACTGCAGTGGTTTTCTAAGGAAGCCACATGGCAGGGCACAAATCAAAGTAACTAACAGTACACCTGACAGTGTAAATTATTGGGGGGGGGGCGTCTAGCCTTCATCTAATCCGGGGTTCCCAAACTTGGGTCTCCAGCTGTTGTTGGACTACAACTCCCATCATCCCTAGCTAGCAGGACCAGTGGTGGTCAGGGATGATGGGAATTGTAGTCCAAAAACATCTGGAGACCCAAGTTTAGGGAAACTCCCAAGAGGAATTTTGAGGAACAGCCCTCTCAAGGCCTGTGTTGCTGTGTTGAAGAAAGGGCCACCCTGACCCCTCTTGGATTTGAAGTAGCTTCAATCAGTAGCCAAGAATGCAAGTTTTTTTTTAGTTCAGTGGGCTTTTTGAGAAGAAAATGCCTCAAAAGAGTAGCATGAGCTCAATTTTTTTACATTTGTTCCATCAGCACATAGATCTATACCCCCAGCAGTCCCAGTCTAAAACATCTGGAAAGCGCCAACTTGGCAAAAGCTAATGCCATCCTGATTATTTAAATTTCAGAGAATTTATTTTCAAATGTGTTACTCGGATCTAAGCTTTCTCATATATACCTTTTAGATTTTGTATACTTTGCCTGATTTCAGTTTCCTTTATTGGTGTCTCCCAAAGTCACTTGCTATACCATTACTTAACCCAAGCAAGTAGCCTCTCCTTCCCTTTCTGCAGTGTTGCCAGGGGTTTGGTGAATCGTATTTGAAATTTTTCCTGAGTTGGGAGATTCCCGCTTCCCAGCCATCCAGCAGGTTATTGGTCGTGACTAGAGATCTCCCCTTGTGCTTAAGGATCTCAGTGAATCAGAGCCAGAGTGGGTCAAAAACTTCCTTTGTGCCAGCCCGTCTCAGCTGCCTGTGGTGCCTGCTCAAATATTGAAAATAAAAGAAGCAAACTGTCACTGAAATAACTTTTTTTAACATGTGGGAGGGATGCTGAGTGGCAGCATGTAAAGGGCAGAGGGTACAAAACACAAGAATAAATAGAGAAAATGACAAGCTACATGTTTTCCCCCTCCCGCCCTCCCCTTTACTTTCTATTAGGATGAAGACTCAAATGTATTTTTCCCAACAAGACAAAAGTAGATGATGTAACATCGAACCCCACAAACAAACTTGCCTATAAAGTTTTTTTTGTTCTAAATGCCACATTTGTAGGTTGTTGTTTTTTTTAAAAAAAGAAAAAATTACCTCTGTGCACTTTGCCCTGTTGGAGAGCCTGTCGTTTAAGCTTATATTATTATTATTGTTGTTGTTGTTTCAATTTTTGTTTGCTATTTAATAAATAAATTAGGAATAATCACTTCTCAGCAAATTAAAAAATATTTCCCTTTTAACTTGCAACTCTGATGAGAACATAAATATACACAAATGTACTTTTACAAGGCAGTAATAAATATTTAAGTTAACAATAAGTTAAAAACTACAAGAAGCTAAAATTCGCAAAAAGATACAAGAGTTAATGGTGCCAGTTTTTTTGTTCTTTTTTTTTCTCATTTTATCGCAAACAGAAGCTGCCACAGACTCTTACAAAACACAAGTGAACACATTTATTGTCAAAAAATCAAGAAATCCTAAACTAATTTCTAAATCATTAAACAATTAAAACTCGAACTAATGCTAAAATGTTTTAATTATCATTAAGTTCGTCTTTTAAATGTTGTTCATTTTGTTTCCATTTTTTTTTTTTGCTTGAGAGCAAAAGAAAATAAAAGTCCCTTGCTCCACAAGTGCCAACGATGACTTCGTTGTTTTCAGCAAACCAAAATAAATAAATAAATAAATTTTTAAAAAGAAGAACGGAAAATAGCCGATGTGCATTTTCAGGATGTGATTTGTGAACACAGATCCAAAGAGATGCCTCGGGAAAAGGCGGTAGCAGTTGCGTCCCCTTTTAAAAGTTAAGTTGTTGTTTTTTTAAGAGAAACTTCCCTTCTCGTTCCCTTTGAAGTATGTGGAGGGGGAATTAAAAAAAAGCAACATGGACATGGATGTCAGTGTAGTACAACCCTTACAAACAGATTAATCCCACCTGAAGGCTCCATTCTGAAGGGAGACAACCATAAAATGAAATAAAATAAAATAAATAAATTATTTTTAAGCAGCAGCCCTACAGAGCAAGATTCAGATGTTTTTTAAAAGTCCTCCTGGGCTCTTTTGGCTTTAATTTGAGAAACTGGGCAATGCCTCCACGGAAATGGCTAAAACTCCAAAGGTATTTGGCATTTGTGGCTGCCGGATGAGTGAAAAACTTGAGTAGATTTCTCTCCACCATCACCCCCCCAAAAAACCCCCCCCACAATTTCTTGCTATTATACCAAATAAATAAAAAATAAGCTGGGCAGTGCTGTGGAGGAACTGTCCCAAGTGAATGTTTTGGCCTGTCCCCATTCAACAAACATACACACTCGAAAGGGATGAAGGCTCCCTGCGGAGGACCATGGAGCAGGAGATGTCTTGGTCCAAAGGTGGAACACTCTCACCTGTACCAAGAACCTCATCTCTGCCCCCTACCCACTCCATGATAGCACCTCCTATATCACAGGAAACTTACATACAGTAACAGAGATGACACCCTCAGGCGTGTTAATCCCGTTGTTTTAAAAAAAAAACGCGGAGGGGGGGAATTACAATGGGCAACGGTCAATGGGAAGAGATTTGGTATTAAGAACTGTCAGGGAAGCTTCCCCCAAGCCTTCGAATCGAGGCCTACGTGACAAAGGTGTGAGATATTGGAGCAGCAAGTTCCTTCCCTTCAAGGGTTGTGTTACATACGGTGTAGTTTTAGCTTTCCGCGAAATAAACATGGCCTCGGACACACAAGGTCTATTTGGTTGAAGATGGCAGTGGATGGGGTTATTTCGCCCTTAAACTTGCCGACATGTTTAGGACATTTAATCGGACAGAGACTGAATCCAGGTGGGATAGGTGGCTGGGTACACAGTCCCTGCAGGGTTTGATCAGGGAATAGCCTTAAGCATTGTTCCACCATCCCACTATCATGGTTAACAGGCAGGGGTGATGCTTATGCTAGGATGCCATTAGGTGCCATGATAGTAACTCGGTCACAGCTTAAGATGGCAAAGCCGGAAGCAGAAGCTGCTTGAAAGCTCTACGCTCCAGTGGGGTGAATCCTAGTTTCACCCTGGCTTCCCTTTTGAGCCAGAGAGCACATGCGTCCTTTTCCTTAAGCATGTGCAGAGGTGCTCACTCACATACGCACCTCTCTGGCTACGTCAAAAAAGCTCTTGCCGCCTGCAATTTTTGCAGACAACCCAAGAACATTATTGGGTGCCTTGACCGAAGGAAGTTTTGAGGAGGTGTCTCAATCCTTAGCTTCAAAGGGCAACTTAGCTGAAACGTGCTGTTGTGTTTCACCAAACTGGCATCCAAATCTCTGCTGGGGAACCTGGTTAAGTACCTTTTCCTTCCAAACATGGACAAAGGGTTCCCCCCAATCTCTCCCCCATGATGGATCAGATACCACAAGACATCGGGTGGAGGGGAAACATGCCATCAGCTTAGAATCGGAGCGGGGATGTCATGCTGAAAGCTAGATGTCCAGCAGACAAGAAGCATGTCTTTGGCAAGGATCCAGAAAGGTGGGCTGAGGCGCTCACCCTCCTGTGAGATGAGCACAAAGCAGCAATCATACTGGCCCATGCCGTGACCACTGGCCCATGCTGCCTTGGACCAAGAACCCAAGCAGGAGTGTGCATCTCAAAAGACTGGAAGGTTTATTGCTGCCAAGAGGAAAAGAGAAGCCCCCTGAGAGAAATCTTAAAGCATGGGAATTGCAAGGCCTTCCTACGGGTCAGATTGCTCCACAACTGCCTTGCAGCGTGGTGGAAAGAGCTCCGATCCTTTCTCCTAGAGCCCAGCGCACCAGAGACCTCCTGCTGGAAAGTCAGAAGACATCCTCGGCTGCTGGAGTCCACTGTGGCAAAGTGCAGTGTTGCTTTACAGAGGTGATTGGCTTTGTGGGGACGTATTCTCTCTCGGGGATGGACCAGCCACAGCAGAGCAGGCACTAAATCTAGCAGAATGGCTGAGGGCGAAAAGGTGGTGCCGTTTCAGAGCTGCCAGGGCATGTGGCTAATTCGGAGTGAGGGCGAGTGGGAAACAGAACTGACTTGAGTGAGCCGAGAGAAAGAATGAACACGGAGTTATCAAATGCTCAGATGGACACTTTGACTGTTGGGTCTTGCCAATGCCTCCACCTAGGAAGGTGGAGGAGGAACAGAAAACTGTGCCCCTTATAGAAAAGGAAGGCGTGGCACAGCCATCCCTTGTGGCATCACCCTTCCCCCCCCCCCGTGGGTAGCAACACGGTTGGACTCATGTTGGAATCATGTTGGACTCATCCGCCCCACAAGCTGGGCCGTGCAGTTCCCTTGGCCGAGTGTGACTTGCGCTCAGCTGTTCTAGGGAGCCACATGGACAAAGCAGAGCAAAGACATTGCCAAAACAGCCCCGAGATCTCCATTCAACAGCGAGGGGGGGGGTCAAAGAGCTGACCTATTTGGTTGCAATAAGCTGCCTGGAAAGGGCAAGTGGCAGATGTTCTGCCTCACGTCCACTCAAATGGTAGGGGAAGGAGAAGAATTGGTGCCTCCCTAGCAAGTGCTCGCTGCTCCCTTTCTAGTCCTTCCTCAGAAAATGCCAAGACAGACAATCTCACCCCCCAGGCACCAAGTCAGCCTGTCTCCACTTCTGTTGCATCTTCTGAAGTACAATGCCAGGCTCATAGGGGGGAGCATTTGCAGATTCCCCAGCCTCCAGCTGCATGACCTTCTTTGGACCAGTTTTCCCTACTCCCCGCCTACCCAACTTATCCTTGGTCTCTTACATGAAATGGCTGGATCCATAATTAACATAAAGAGAACTCTTTAATTTTTAAGACTGTTGGAGCTGTGGACTCTAGTTACAGTATATGGATGTGGGATACTACCAGAAGTCAGTGTCAAACAAGCGATGCCCCTCAAAATAAGAGGGTCCCTGCTTTTCCTTCATGATCCTTCTCCTGATTGCCCCTGCACTTAGCCCATCATTATAGCACTGAATGGACTGCCCAGGAGCCTCCCAAATTGGATGAAGCTTGCCTTTGGGAAACTGAATGTTAATCTACTTTCCCGTAATTGATGTCCATTGCGTCGTACACGGACCTCTGCGGATCTAACTCTCCCTCTTCTTTCCAAGATGTTTTGCAGCATCATGCATAACAGCCTTGGCGCGCCAGCAGTGGGCAGTGACATCTGAGACAGTTCAGGTTTTGCGTCCTCTGCAACAGCTAGAGGAGTTGCTTGCTACCTTTCCCCCATTGAGGACCATGTTGTCTCTTTGCTAAGGGTAGATATCAGGCATGCATTGAGAGGTGGGTGAATAGAGCCCCTCTTCCCCCACCCAGCAGCAGCAGGGTTTTCCTGCAGAACCAAACCGATCTGCACAAATCAGCTTCCATACTCTAGCAGCACTAACTGTTTTGGGGTGCTTCTTTTTTTAAAATTTCACTCGATGGCTTTTCCGATGAAAAAGCCAAAAGAAATCTTAGCGGGGAAACAACTCTGAAAATGGACGTGTGTAAAACTAATGCTGGTGTTAAGCACACAGCCTAAACCATTGTTGGTTTTTTAAAAGAGATAAACTGTTTCCTAGGCTTTTGTCCCTTTGGCAGGGGCTGGGTGGGTAAGAGAGAAGTCTGGCGGGGATGTTGCAAAAAGCCGTAAGGTGACTGCAGCCCCTTCTGCCCTGTCCCCAGCCCCTAACAAGACACACAAAGACAAGAAAAGCAATAAAATAAAATAGAGAAGGCTAGTGGGGGGAAAAGAATCCTGAAAGCAATTTGCTGCTGCTTCTGCCCAGCTAAGGGAGGGACAGAACAATCCAAACCCCTTGGGATCTGAGGCACTAAGTGCTGCTCCTGCACAAGACTCTCAAAGACTTTCCAGGCAACTGGGATGGGGACAAGGGAGAGGGTGTGGCAGGAAAAAGACGATAGGTCAAGAAAAGCAGCTACCTTCCCAGCATGCTTCTGGTGTGGAGAAAGCACATGGGCCTTACTCACTGCTGTTTGGGGTGCTTGTGTGAAACTGCTGCTATGCAACTGGCAACAGCTGGCATCTGTTGGGACACCACCCTTTGGAAAAAGCCATGTCTTTTCTCTCCTGGTCCCAGCACCTCTCTATAGGGCACTAACTGAACTCGGTTTCCTTTCTAATTCTCATGCTTTTAAAAATGCCTTCAGTCACTGTGAGCCGCCACAGTTGTGCTGGTGGGCTCAGTTGCTTTTGCTGGTGTTTAAACCCTCCCTGCAACAAAGCCAGGCTCCACCCCAACCGCTGCACCACCAAGTCGTTTTGCAAACCTGGGTGGAATTCGCAAAGGGAAGGGAAGGCTCAGCTTCCAGGAAGGAACTGTCCCAGCTCAGAACTATGGCTATCCCCCAACTCAATCAATCCCATATCAAAGCTGATGCCAAAATCCCAGTTCATTATATGGAGACTCTTGTGTGTCTCCCAAGCTACCTGTATCTGTGAAATTTGATACAATACGGACATCCCCATCACTTGTCTGGAAAGGCCATTGGGAATGAATGACTGGTGTGTGTAGAGCAGTAGCACTTAGTGACTTGCTTTCCATTTCTCCCTTTGAATTTGTGTGTGTGTGTGTGTGTGTGTGTGTGTGTGTGTGTGTGTGAAGTTCAAGAATCCCAGTAAAAATTTCCAACAAGGTCTCTTTTCCTTTTTTATAAAAATAGATTTTTTTAAATCTTTCTAAACGTTTGCTGTTGTTTTCATTTTGTTTCCCATTTCAGCCTTTTTAATGTATCATTTCCCCCTTTTCATTCAGTCATGAGATTGATCTAACATTGAAAAAGAGAAAGGGAAAACTCACCCACCAGCCCATTCCCACTCCTGTACCTCCCCCTTTAATCAAAAAACAACTTTCTAGCTTATCAGGATAGTCAGCTAACACAGTTTGGGGGTGGGGGGTTGGCTCCCTCCTCTCTCTCTCTCTCTCAGATGGCCCCATGCTTGGTCTTAACAAATTCTTCGCCTAAAAATTTATAAAGAAAGAAGGAAAGAATGAAAGGCTTGATTTTGGGAGAGGAGGCAAAACAGCAGGTTTAAATTGTACCACCACCCGATTCAAGTCCATATTTCTGACCTGAAAAGAAACTTGACCCATCTAGTCCACACAACTTGATTAATCGACTAGGAATCTTGGACACTGTGCCAGGTCCCTGGCCTCTCTCGCTTGCTTATCTCCATGTCCCACGCTCTTACTTTAATCCCAAATTATTCCAGGACGTAAGCAAATTATCAAACCTGATATGCAAACTTACAAAACAGAGCAGAAAAAAAAAATATGGGGCCTTTGCTTTTCCCCCAGGGAATGAGGCTTCTCTGGGGAAAGCAGGAAGGACCCCCGTTCAGGACATATGGGGTTGGGTTCATTTCCCAAATACAACATCATTCTAATTAAGGGTCAGGCAAGGTGGTAGGATTAACAAACAATATCGCTAACATTTTAGACCAAGGGATGAGATGAGAGCATTGTCCACCCACCACATTTGTACTTTTGTGTATTTTATTTTATTTTTTGCATCCAAGAAGGACAAAAGTGGTGAGCTGGATTGTTGTAACTCCTCCCCCCCTAGGCTAGCTCAGAAAAGCAGTCGTGACAATTCTTGGATTTGCTGATCCGCAATATTGGGGGGGGGGAGGGAGGAGGTCGGGAGTGTTCCTATATCACACCTTACAGGAGAGAGTGGTTTTCGTCCCCCCGGGGCCAGGAAACCTGCCCATCAAAAGGAACAATGTAAGGGGTCAGAATTCAAAGAGGGAAGGAAGGATGGAAGATTGGGGAAAGCTTCTGACTTGGGTAAAGCATGTTAGAAAAGCCTAGGACAAGGGACCGGGTTGGGGGGGGGGCGCAGTAGGGTCACAGAAACAGAGAGGTGTTCTATTCTGAGTGGATGTCTCCCCTGCACATTGCCAAGAGCAGGGATCGGTTTTCAAAAGGTGGCTTGACATGTTGCCACGTCCGTGCTCCCTGCTGGGCTGTCGGGCACAGGGGAGGGGGAGCGGGAGAAGCCTCCTGCTTCCCAGAGAGGATCACGGTGTCTGGCGGTTTTTTTGTTTTGTTTTAAATATTCTGCAACATTTGAGTCAATGAACATTTCCGTTCTCGTGGCGAGTCGGGGAAGAGGGCTGTTTTCCAGCATCCTTGCCGCTCGCCCCACCCCACCCCTCCCGCCATCTCTCTCGCCCCGCTCGCTCGCTCATGCCTTGTGTTGCTTACTGGTCTTGAAGGAAACCTGGAGAATTCGGTCGCCCAGTCGGTAGCCATTGAGGCTGGCGATGGCCATGGCTGCTTCGTCGTAGTTGGTCATGGTGACAAAGCCAAAGCCCTTGCACTTGTTGGTGGTGAAGTCGCGGATCACTTTGACGTTGGTGACTGCTCCAAAAGGCCCAAAGAGCTGCCACAGGACACTCTCATCAGCCTCTGGGGAGAGGTTGTACACAAAGATGCACCAGCCGGCACTGGAGGCCCCTGTCAGGTTGACTCCCGCCAGGCTGGTCATGCTGTCGATCGTGATGGGAGAGAACCTGGAGATCAAGGAGAGAGGACTACTTTGGGTGTAAGGCTGGCATTCTACCAGCATGAGCTCACTGCAATATGGACAGGTTAGGAACAGCGCTGCCTACTTCTCAGGGGAAAGGGCGAGGCACCGGCAGTTCACTCCTACAAGCCTTGGCTCCAAGGGGCAAGAGGGAAAGGGCACAGGCAGTTCCTACCAAAAGCCCTGGATCCTTCAGGTTGAATTTGATGTACAGTCGTACCTTGCTTGTCGAACTTAATCTGTTCCGGGAGTCCGTTTGACTCCCGGAACAGTTCAAAAACCAAAGCATGGCTTCCGATAGGCTGCAGGAGCTTCCTGCACTCAATTGGAAGCTGCGGAAGCAGCGCCGGACGTTCGGCTTCCGAAAAACATTCGCAAATTGGAACACTCACTTCGGGTTTGCGGCGTTCAGGAGCCGAAACGTCCGAGTACCAAGGCATTCGACAACCAAGGTACCTCTGTACAAGCCTACCTTTGTAATTTCCCCCACAGATTTCGGTGAGGTGACATTTTAATTCATACTCCGCCAAGGGTATTTCTGCCTGTGCTAGATGTTCCCCCAGTTTGGTTCAGCCTGCAAGTGTGCCACGAGTCCCCCTGTTTGACCTTAAGGTTTCTTGGCTCTAATAACGAAGTAACCTCAAGGGTAAAATGGAAGGGCTCCTAACGAAGGAGGCTGTGACTTTTCCTGTGCATGAATGAGTTCATCATGCAAGTCCTGAAATTGGAATCCCATGCTGAATCTGGCACAATGAGAATCTCATTTTCCATTTAAAGAAAAACAAACTTAAAAACCCCCCACACCAAGTTATAAACTTCATGGTAGCAAATAACATCTTAGAAATGATTCTAATGAAACAGGGAGGAATTCAATGCCGTGCTCTTCTGATTGTTCCGTCAGCTCAAGCATTTCAGCTTGCCAGACAAAATGATCCCCCCTCTCCGCCCCTGAGCACTGTTATGGGGGTTCTCCCAAGCCCCCTAAAGCCAATTTTGGCACAAGGAAGGGGGAGAGAAGGAGGGAAAAGCCCAATGCACAAGGGATTCCAGTGATGGGACTCATTAGGTGCATCCTGCCCAGGATGAGGGGCAGAGCTTGCTGTGAGGAACAAGTATAGTACAAACTTCTCTACAGTGGTGCCTCGCAAGACGAAAAGAATCCGTTCCGTGTTTCTCTTCGTCTAGCGGTTTTTTCGTCTTGCGAAGCAAGCCCATTGACAGCGGATTAGCGCTACAGCGGTCTAGCGGCTTTTCGCGATCAGCTGTTAAGCGGGTTATCAGCGGAACAGCTGATAGGCGGCTTAGCGGCTTAGGAAAAGGGGGGGGAGCGGAAAAAAAACCGCGGGGACGTGCAAGATTTTTTCGTCTTGTGAAGCAACCCCATAGGGAAATTCGTTTTGCGAAGCGCCTCCAAAACGGAAAACCCTTTCGTCTAGCGGGTTTTCCATCTTGCGAGGCGTTCGTCTTGCGGGGCACCACTGTATCTCTCTATTCCCCCTGCCCAGCCAGCTATTGTTTTCTGACATGTTGCTGGTGACCACCTGTGCTCCAGTTATTTCCTTCCCTTTCCTCGTCCACCCCAGTTTTGGGGGAGAAGAAAGAAAAAAAATTGAAATGTTTGGATAACCTGGATCTGTGGGTTTATTCAGGTAAAAGGTAAAGGACCCCTGGACAGTTAAGTCCAGTCAAAGGCAACCATGGGGTTGTGATGCTCATCTCACTTTCAGGCCGAGGGAGCCAGCCTTTGTCCACAGACAGCTTTCCGGGTCATGTGGCCAGCAGGACTAAATCGCTTCTGCTGCAACGGGACATCGTGACGGAAACCAGAGCGCACGGAAACACAGTTTACCTTCCCGCTGCAGCAGTGCCTATTTATCTACTTGCACTGGGATGCTTTCAAACTGCTAGGTTGGCAAGAGCTGGGACAGAGCAACGGGAGCTCACCCCGTCGCAGAGATTCGAACCACCAACCTTCTGATCGGCAAGCCCAAGTGGCTCTGTGGTTTAGACCACAGCGCCACCCGCGTCCCTCTGGGTTGTTTCACACCACAACTCTGTATATGGATGTGTAATGTTTGTTATTGATCCAGAACACACTGCCATTCGTGGCTGAATGGCTCACCAACACTACCTGCCTGCTGCAACTAAGCTTTCCAAATACAGGTGGAAGTGAATGTTTTGGAAGTGGTTCTGTGCAGAGAATATCTTCAACCTCCAGCCTGCTGCAGTAGAGCAGTCGTGTAAGTGTCTGCTAATTTGCTTGACTTCAGCGGCAATCATTCTATGCTCGTTTACTTGGAAGGAAGCCCCGGTGACTTCAGTGGGATTTACGTCAGAATAAACATGGGCACACGATTGTGCTATTGCATAGAAAATTCTGTGAACAACAACGCTCCCCTCTAATCTTGTTGGGAACAGGAGGCGTGAAGGAAGCCAGTTCTGCAGAAGAGTCAAGCTTCTTCTTGCTGAATCTGAGGAAATAGCTGGGCATTGCCAGGAATCTCCAGGGCAGACTGGACCACTCATAAAGGATGCTGGCATAGCAACCACTTAAAACGACACAGGCTCAATTTGGGGCCTAGGAATTTTGGTCTGAGAAGACCTAAGGAGGAATGAGCTTGCTCAGTGCCTACATGCAGAACTACAGAGAGCTCCATTTAAGCTGCTCTGAGCTTTCGAAGGAAGATTGGGACGTGAAATATAAACAGTAATTGTTGTAACGTGTTTGACAGCCTTCTAGCTCTCAGATATATATGTCTTTGGTATAAAGTTTGTCTGTCCAGTGGTTTTCCGCCTTCCCAATTCACCTCTGGAGCAACCGTCTAATTTCTGTCCTTCAAGCAACGCAACTAAATGAAACCAAGAAGCACCCAACACAGTGACAACAGATAAACACAAGACCAAAAAAAAAAAAAAAATTATATAAGGAACAGCCAGTCATCTGAGCAAAACAGCAAACCCTTCTCTCGAACCAAACCCAAAACAGAACAAAAAGAGAGGCATGAAAGGTCTGTAGTGTGTCCCCCAAGACACACAAACCCAAATTCCACAGGCCTAAGGCAGAAGATGGAGGGATTCTATTGTTTTAACTTTTATAGTACTTTTAAATTCCCATGCTCGCTGAGGGAGGTGGGGGGAATAAGAAAAAAGAGGGGAAATGATTACAAATTAAAAAATTTGTATTGGGGAGGGGTGGGTATTGAACCAAGCAACCACAAATAAAGTTGTCTACATTTTTTTTCCCCCTTTAAGGTTAAGAAAAACAGTCAGATACCTTAGGAGACTACCAATGTTATGTCTAATCATGACGCCCACATTTGCTTTCTAAGAGGATGAGTGCGGCTGCACTGTTAAGGCCGAGGTTGGGGTGGGGGGCCTCTCGCCTCTGGGGCTGTGTTGACAATCACCTTTTTAAAATCCAGCCTTGTGCTGTGGGCCAAGGTGGGGAGGGAGGGGGGGAGTGGCGAGGAGCGTAGGCTTTTGAAGGCTATTTACCTCTTGACGCCGTATGCCATGTTTAGCAAATTGTCGAGCCTGTGGGAGGAAGAGGAAGACGAGGAGAGGCCATTGTTAGTAGACGATCTCGTAACAAGAGGGTCCTGCGGTGCCATCTGGCTTGGCTATTAGTGCCGCAGCAAGGCAGCGCTTGCTTCCTGAGACTAAGCACAGGTTGCTGTTTGCACTTGGAGGCCCTGGAGGAATTTAAATGTCTTAGGTTTGGAAATATATATATATCTATTGTATATATATATATATATATGTGTGTGTGTGTGTGCTGAACAGCAATGGGAAAGGATCTCCATCTATTTTGTTTGTTTATAATCTGTTTTTCACAAACTGAGATGCATGGGTAATGGACAGGCACTAATTAATTAAGGGCAACGGTGTCTGCATTTCAAAAATGATGATGATGATTATGGTAATAATCAATCATTTTTTTTAAAAGAGAGAGAGAGAGAGAACACCTAGATAGAACAGAACATGGCAAACATATTTACAGTTACAACTTGCCACCCCCTCTTGTTAGGACTTACTTTCCTCTGCAGAGCTGTGTCCAGATTTCATGCAGCAACTCTGAATTTTTCTTCAATTCATTTGCTTAAGAATCTGCATGATTACCATCATGCCATGGAACCTAGGCAGCTTGCCTTACTCTTTATTTTTTAAAGGCAAGAGTTTAGTCTTAATAGTTGCTAGCAAAGATCTGAAAACCTGCAGGTTGCCTGAGCTTCCAGTGGGCAAAGCTACCAGCATTAGTACTTTTCCCTATTGGCCTTCCTGCTTCTATTGTCCTTTAAAATGGTCCCTCATCCCATCAACTGCACATATCTGGATTTCCAGAATCTCATCTCTTCAAAGAATGTGGTGCAGAAAGGCAAAATCTTGCTAAGAACTCCCCCAAATGGTGCAATTGCATAGAATACAGTATACACATTTCGGTAGCACAATTTTTATAACTTAGTAATAGGACTTGGGAGTATTTTTCCTAGTGCAGATATCCAGGCCTTACTTATGAGGTGCGTTTCTAATAAACTAGACCTTTTGCCTGTTTGCACATGCGGGAGAGAGCATTTAATGGGTGAAACATAACACCTCCCAGATCCATGGATGTGTTTATTAGCATGTGTGTTGTGGCTCCATCATGAACGGAAGTTTAATGAGCCAAGACACAGAAAATATCTACGTCCGCATGTTCCATGCATATGTATGACTTTTGCATGTGTGTCATGTTATGGCATGTCGTACACCATGCAGATGCCATGCCTATGAACATCATCTGCGTATGGGTCCACTGGATATGTATGAGCAGGGAGTTCAAACATAAGTGACCCAAACCTACAATTCAGTCCATCATTACTTCACCAAACCAAACCAAAATTTATCCTGCCTGTTGGGAGCTATATTGGCTTTTGGACCAAAGGAAGAAGTGAGATATCAGAAAAGCCTTCCAGCAGCACAAAATTCCTCATCTATTTTAATTCTCCTAGTGTATTGTTATTGCTTTCTTTCTGATAAAAGTATGTTTTAGATACTATAGCTAAAAGTTGACCTGGATTGTGGGGAAGTAGCTGGGTTGATAATCCCACTTTTTGGGAAGGGCTTAGACACATGGCCTTCTGGAAACACTGTATTCCTTACTTCTACACAGTACAGTGGTACCTAGGTTCGCAAACACCTTGGTACTCAAACAACTTGGAACCCAAACACTGCAAAGTGTTCCAGTTTGCAAACTTTTTTGGGGAAGCCAAGAATGCTCCATTTTGAGTGTTACGCTTCCAATTTGAGTGCCAAAACTTCAGTTTTGAGTGCCACACTTCCATTTTGGGTTCCATGTTTCCGTTTTGAGTGTTATGCTGAGCTATGTCTGTTTTTGCTATTTATTTTGCGTTTTTGTTTTTGCGGCTCTTTTTTGTGCGTTACTGTGTGGAACCCAGTTCAGCTACTGATTGATTGACAGTGTGACCTCAGTACATTGTTTATTGCTTTCATTTTATGGATCAATGGTCTCAGATAGTAAAATTCATGTTAAATTGCTGTTTTAGGAGTTGTTTTTAAAAGTCTGGAATGGATCAAACCATTTTGCATTATTTCCTATGGGAAAGCGTGCCTTGGTTTTGGAACGCTTTGGTTTTGGAACGGACTTCCGGAATGGATTAAGTTTGAGAACCAAGGTACCGCTATAATTCCATTTGGTGGTTTCTCTCTACCTGAATTGTCGGAATGTATCTGCATTAGCCGATGGGGTTAAAAGGGAAATTCACTACAGACATCTCTAAGAAAGAGAAGGAATCAGCAGATTCTAAACCTGGGTGTGGCAGCTTACATTAGACCTTTCAGGACAGAAATCTGAACTAGCCTACTAGCAACCCAAGGTCATTTTGCTCTCCATGGGAGAAGGTCAACGGAACAATTACAGAGCACTCAGTGGCTCCATAGAACATGCCTGGAAGCCAAAAACCACTCCTTTAAATTCTTCACAACTTCAACCAAAAGCGGGACAGGGCTTTGGGATACAAGAATCCCCTTGAGCTTTGAACAGCCCGTTTACCCTGAGGAGTTCTCCCAGCCCCTGCCACACTTTAGGGCCAAAATAGACAATACAGTGGAACCTCGGGTTACATACGCTTCAGGTTACTCAGGTCTCCGCTAACCCAGAAATAGTACCTCGGGTTAAGAACTTTGCTTCAGGATGAGAACAGAAATCGTGCTCCAGCAGCGGGAGGCCCCATTAGCTAAAGTGGTGCTTCAGGTTAAGAACAGTTTCAGGTTAAGAACGGGCCTCTGGAATGAATTAAGTACTTAACCCGAGGTACCACTGTATGTAAAACTGTCATATAACCCCTAGCATGGCATAGCATGCGTGTTTGTGTGTGCATGGTTAACCCAGCCCCACTTCCACCATCCTGACAAAAATAAATAAATCCCTCCCCACTGTAAAGATGCTATTTGCTCCAGAAAGAGAAGCTGCCATTGATGCCTGTGCAAAACAGCAAGGGGTGGAGGGGGTTGTTGGAGCTAGGGACATTCAGTGCAATACACAGGTCTACCCTCTACTCCAAGTTGCTTCTTCTCAGACACAGCCCAGAATCCTTTAGGCTCCCATCCCAGCTAGAAGTGGACACAGAGTATGGCCAAGGTGGGTGGGGGGAGGAAATAAATATGAAGGACTCTGCCCACCTCAAGGACATGGAATGTGGAGAGGCAACAGAAGGTAGGATGGTGCAAGATACTGTTCAAAATACTCAGTTTCCTGTTCTCCAACACCAAAGTGGCAACTAACCTCTCTCTATATACAGTGGTACCTCGCAAGATGGAAAACTCGCAAGACGAAAGGGTTTTTTGTTTTTTGAGCTGCTTCGCAAGACAATTTTCCCTATGGGCTTGCTTCGCAAGACGGAAACGTCTTGCAAGTTTGTTTCCTTTTTCTTAACACCGTTAATACAGTTGCGACTTGACTTCGAGGAGCAACTCATAGTGTGGTAGCCTTTTTTGAGGTTTTTGAAGACTTTGGTGATTTTTGAAGCTTTTCCAAAACTTTTCCGACACCGTGCTTCGCAAGACGGAAAAAATCGCAAGACGAAAAAAATCGCGGAACGAATTAATTTCGTCTTGCGAGGCACCACTGTATATAGATTTTAAAATCCAGTGTTTTTAGGCTCCGGTTACAATATTGATATATCTAAACCTATGGCCTTTTTGGTTTCGAAGCAACCCTACAAAATGACAGAGAGGCATATGAGTGCAACAGAAATGTCTTCTGTTCAGATGGTAAGAGAGCAACAGGAGATTAGGCAACAGAATAGTTCAGGAAGTCTACCCTCCAATCGAAGCAATTTCCTTCTCCAAGAAACGAAGGAAACACCCATAACAGTCCTCTGGGGAAGCAAGGCAAGAAAAATCTCTGTTCCCTGCTACACTCAAAATGTTTTCAAGTCCAAAGGGCACAGCTTCTCACTCGCTCTACCACAAGCTTCCTCCACAAGCCTTGATATGCTTCTAGTATCCAAACCACTTTTCCTACTGGGTCAAAAAAAGAGAAAAAGTAAAGGACCCCTGACAGTTAATTCCAGTCACAGACAATTCTGGAGTTGCGGCATTCATCTCACTTTACAGGCCAAGGGAGCTGGTGTTTGTCCGCAGACAGTTTTTCCGGGTCATGTGGCCAGCATGACTAAGCCGCTTCTGGCACAACGGAACACCGAAACCAGAGCAGTGCACTTCACATATGTACTTTGAGGAATCGGTACAACAACTATGTAAGGTAAAGGTAAAGGGACCCCTGTCCATTAGGTTCAGTCGTGACCGACTCTGGGGTTGCGGCACTCATCTCGCTTTATTGGCCGAGGGAGCCAGCGTACAGCTTCCGGGTTATGTGGCCAGCATGACTAAGCCGCTTCTGGCGAACCAGAGCAGGGCACGGAAACGCCGTTTACCTTCCCACTGGAGCGGTACCTATTTATCTACTTGCACTTTGACGTGCTTTCGAACTGCTAGGTTGGCAGGAGCTAGGACCGAGCAACGGGAGCTCACCCCCGTTGCGGGGATTCGAACCGCTGACCTTCTGATTGGCAAGCCCAAGAGGCTCAGTGGTTTAGACCACTGCGCCACCCACATCCTTGGTCAAATATGCACAGCCTATGCCCAAATCCATCATGATGAGCACTGCCGCCTAATACAAGCCTCTGTGCATTTCTCCTTGCCACTGCTCTTTCCCCACCTGTGCCAGTTGGATGCAGCAGGCTGAATTCCTTTAAAAGAGCCACTTCCTGCAGCGAGTGCTCTAATCTTGCTATTTAGCTTAACATGCACAACACAACTTCTACTGCTTGGTGGGGGCAACATGAAGAGCTCAAGACCCAGGTTAAGTTCCACCTCAGCTATGAACTTCCCTGTGTTATCAAAGCCTGGGCATTTCCAGTGTTTGAAACTCCCATTGTTATAGATGCGTTTTGCGACAGGGGGTTTCATTAGTGCGAGTAGTTTCTGAGCTCAGCACAGTACTGCGCCTAAGATTTCAGATTGAAAACACAGTGTGGAAGGAAAGGAGGACCTTTTTCTGCCTCCCCACTTCCAGCTACTCTCTGAAGACTGGAGAAGACACCTTCTTAAGAATATAAGGGGAAGGTGAGAAGGGGAAGGACTAGACCATGGGAAAAGTGAACATAATATTTTAGCTGCAGTTCATTCATTTTCAGCTTTGTATTCTCGTTATAAAAAAGCCCGCCTAGACATTCTGTTGTTGCGCCCATAACCTAGGTTTAAGGTGCCATTTAGCTCCTAGCTTTCATATCTCAGTTCCTAACTCTGGACATTTTTCCCTCTCAGCTCTCCAGCTGTTAGGTGGGACTACCAGGCATCCTAGAGAGTTAGGAAGATGAACAACTTTGGAGATTTGGGGACAGCATGAAGCTGAATAAATATGTGATGAGTAGGTACCACATAATGAGTCTCAAATAACGTCACTTTGAGAAAGAAGTGAACAGTTCTCTCACACATGATTATTTTTCCTGCTTGGGCATGAAGATAAATCTGTGTTAATCCATGCACGCTGCCTCACATGAAAGTCACATCGAAAGCAGACATATGCGCCATCTTCACACCCAGCAGGTGTACACAGGGTGTTTTTCGCTGCCATGTGGGGAAAATATCACGTGTGAAGCAGCAGATAACAAAAGAATCCATGAAAAATGTGGTAGAAAACATACATGTGATGCAGATCAGGAGTTCATATGCAACCAGGCATTTGACGCCAAATGACGGGGAGTGGGGGATTAACAGCCTTGAGGCTTTATTTCAGTTTGCCTAAGACTTTTCAAATCCAAACGGGCCAAGGAGCTGCTTAGGGATTGCTGCAGACCTTCAGGTGGCCCTCATAATCTGTCCCTCCCCATCTTACCTACAAATTGAAAAAAAGAAAATGGGGTACAGTGGTACCTCGGGTTACATATGCTTCAGGTTACAGACTCTGCTAACCCAGAAATACTACCTCGGGTTAAGAGCTTTGCTTCAGGATGAGAACAGAAATTGTGCTCCAGTGGCGTGCCAGCAGTGCAAGGCCCCATTAGCTAAAGTGGTGCTTCAGGTTAAGAACAGTTTCAGGTATAGAACGGACCTCCAGAACGAATTAAGTACTTAACCCGAGGTACCACTGTATATGAGAATTCATGGAGCACGATTCCCAAAACAACGTACAACAAGAATTTCCTGTTTCTTACAGGACCTGTCCCACACAAAAGGAATCTGGACGCTCATCTGTCCCAACCCTGCCCCCTGAGGAACACAATACAACTGGTAAATGGCACACATTGGTACTTAGGAAGATGGCACTTCCTCTGTTTACACCTGATGGAAATGTGGCTGCCCTCTAGATCCAGCAGAACCTCAAGCTATATCGACAACCGTCCCTTTACTGAATACTGAGATGTGGCTATTTCTGAAGTGGAGCGGCAGGGTCAGCTGCTGCTAAAACTATTAGGGGAAAACACAGCTAGGCACAAAGAAGCCCACTCACAGTGGAAGTGCCTGGCCTCAGAGCCACCAATCCTAGCAGTTTTCAGGTGAGCATCACTGGAGCACACAGACCGCTTCTAACCATCTGGTAGACCAGATGCCCTGTAATCTTTTCCAACTCAGCGTAGCAACAATCTGAAAGATACTCATAACTTGGTCCCTTCCTGCCTTGAAGAACTCAGCATGAGGTAGCCACTGAATGCTACTGTTCCTGTCTGCCTCGTTATTAAGACCCCAATGTGAGGCATGGGCTCAGGAGAAGGAGGGAGTCCAGGAGGGAATCCAGGAGCCCCCCTCCCCCAAGGTGCACTGATCCACAGTATATTAAGGAAGTGCACAGAGCAGTACCAGAACATGTCCCAAGCCCAACGGGTCAGCTTTACAGAAGGCAATCTCTTAAGGAACAGCCAGTGAGATTGTGCTAAAGGGACACTGGAAGGAGGCAGAGGATTCAACCGCACATCTTCGCCTTGTGTTTACTTAGAGACTAGCCGCACCCGTGGACACTCAGATCTAACATACAGGCAAATGATGAGGTTGGGTATCTGAGTCCTAGGTTTCCCCCAAGCATAGGGCGGCAGCTGCCAGGGACCGGGTGAGGAGAAGAACAACCTGAACTCTCAGCCCTCCAGCAGAGGAGAGGGGAAGGTGTCTCACCTGAATCGCTGAGTCTGGTGGTGCAAAGGTCCCGTGTACCGTCGAGCTGTGGTCTGGTACAGATGCGTGAGCAAAGCTTGTCCTGTCTTCTGGCTGGGGTTGTTGGCAAACTTGACTGTGATGGGCTCGCTGGCGCCCAGGGGTTTCTGCCCATTCAGCCCCTTGATGGCCTCCTCAGCTTCTATCCTCTTGTCGAAGCGGATGAAACCGACTCCTCTAGAGACACCTGGAAGAGCAGGAGTCAGAATGGCAGGGGTGTCGTATGAATGCTGGCGAGGGCACCTGCTGAGTTGATAATGCAGGGCTACAATATGGTACAGTCAACCCTCGGTTGTCGAACGTAATCCATTCCAGAAGCCCATTTGGCTTCCGAAACGTTCGACAACCGAGGCACGGCTTCCAATTGGTTGCAAGAGCTTCCTGCACTCAAGCAGAAGCCGCGTCGGACATTCAGCATCAAAAAACGTTCGAAAACCAGAGTTTTGGGTGTTCGGGAGCCGAAATGTTCCAAAACAGAGCTGTTTGGGAACTGAGGTTTGACAATATCTCTCATCTGAAGACAGACACTTCCCCCTAGCACCGTGCGTTCTTGTAACATCTGTTCAATTTTCCTTTTTAGTGCCCCTGAATGTTTGAAACACATACAATATATAAAGACTGGATAGCCACATCATTGGGTAAATCAGACAACTTTAGATTAAGCTTTAAATATCTCAGCTAAGAACCCTGAAATAATCTTGGTAGTTTTGGAAGTATCATCCCTCAACAAATATTGGATTACAGACTCTTTGCAAGTCAATATTTTGAGCTGTGTGGGAGTCACTAGGAGATCTCTGCAAAGGTTGTCGAGAAAAGGGCAGTCCAAAATTATGTGGTGTATTGTATCTGGTGTTTTCTTATTACAGGAACAGAATCTGTTCTGGAAAGGGATTTTTTGAAAGCTTCCAAACAAATGGATGAGGAGAATGCAAGTGCTTCTAAGAGGTGATATGGGGCCTGGCACCCACACAGTCTCAGCTTGAAGTCCTTCCCATAAGTAGTACAGTGGTGCCTCGCAAGACGAAATTAATCCGTTCCGCGAGTCTCTTTGTCTTGCGGTTTTTTTCGTCTTGCGAAGCACGACTATTAGCGGCTTAGCGGCTATTAACGGCTTAGTGGCTATTAACGGCTTAGCGGCTTTAAGAAAAAGGAAACAAACTCACAAGAACTCGCAAGACGTTTCGTCTTGCGAAGCAAGCCCATAGGGAAATTCGTCTTGCGGAACGACTCAAAAAACGGAAAACCCTTTCGTCTAGCCAGTTTTTCGTCTTGCGAGGCATTCGTCTTGCGGGGCACCACTGTATGGATCAGTGGAGCTACTCGGTGGAGCAGGAGCACCTGACATATGTAGAAAGCTGTGATTTCTTACTTATTGCTTGACATGTTCCCGCAGCGCGACCCGCGTATATTCTCCAAATAAAAGTTTACTTCCTGCCAGTGGTGAGATGGGTTGTGACAACCCACACAGAATCACATTTCTCCCCTCCAGGAGAGTGGACAATATTTCTACTTTTTAAAAAAAATGTATGCATGCCATAATCACTCTAAAAGACAGTCTGTGCAGCCTATGCCTGTACTTACTTCAGAGGAGGATCCTAATAGGTGTCCTCTTTTTTAAAACCTGCTCCATCTGTGTATGGCTGCTTCGTAAGAACTTATGAAGGACTCTGCTGATGAAGCAGATCTATCTAGCCCAGTATCCTGCTTCCAAAACTAGCCACCAAGTGCTTCCAGGAAGTACACAAAGAAGGCTTGAAGGCAACAGCTCTCTCCACCACAGCAACTTGTATTAGAGTCACGACTAACAGTTTTTGGTAGACTTTTCCCAATCCCCTTTTAAAGCCATCTAAAAGCTAGGGGTCCTTCTGGCGACAGAAGGCAGCCCTGTTTAGGGAAGATTTTTAATGTTTAATGGCTGTACCTCGCAAGACGAATGCCTTGCAAGACGGAAAACTCGCAAAACGAAAGGGTTTTTTGGTTTTTTAGTTGCTTCGCAAGACGATTTTCCCTATGGGCTTGCTTCGCAAGACGGAAATGTCTTGCAAGTTTGTTTCCTTTTTCTTAAAACCGTTAATACAGTTGCGACTTGACTTCGAGGAGCAACTCAGCACGCGGTGTGGTAGCCTTTTTTGAGGTTTTTGAAGACTTTGGTGATTTTTGAAGCTTTTCCAAAACTTTTCCGAAACCGTGCTTCGCAAGACGAAAAAAACCGCAAGACGAAAAAACTCGTGGAACGAATTAATTTCGTCTTGCGAGGCACCACTGTATTGTGTTTTTAATATTGGGCTGGGAGCTGCCCAGAGTAGCTGGGGAAACCCACTGATGGGTGGGGTATAAATAATAAATTATTATTATTTGTTTGTTTGTTTGTTTGCACATGTCCTTGGGTTTGCATCTGTGCTTGGAAGGCCAATTCCATGTACACCCCCCGCCCTCCCACCTTGCTATAATGTAGACAAATTCTTATGAAGGGGTAATAGTGTACTCTTTTCTCATTTTAAGTCTGGCACATATTGATTTTTTGAGAGGAACACGCAACTGTGGAGTTTAACTGGACAGCCATGTGTTCCATTCCACACATTCCAAAATAAGGACACCTAGATTTGTTACTGTGCATACACTCAACGAGAAACTGCAGCCAATTTTGGCTCTCCGCTGAGTACATCTGTATAACACGTGAGCTTTTAATCCCCTCCCTTTTTTTCATGACTGCACTCACACTTTACATTTTTTAGTGTTACGTGCAAAAATGTCATGCACAAAACCCTTCAGTACTAACCATTCTTGTTACCTGTGGCATTATCACAGAATTCGAGGCACTGAGCAATAAGGAAAATGAGTGTCCAGGCTCAATAAAGGCCCTAGATTACAATTAATCTAGCCCTGGGAAGTGCAAAGTGGTAATACAATGGAACCTTGGTTCTCGAACGGCTTAGTTGACGAACAAATCAGCTCCCAAACAGCGAAAACCCAGAAGTAAGCGTTCCAGTTTTTGGAAATCGGACGTCCGTTGCGGCTTCCGCTTGAGTGCAGGAAGCTCCTGCAGCCAATCAGAAGCCACACCTTGGTTTTTGAATGGTTTCGGGAGTCGAACGGACTCCTGGAACAGATTAAGTTTGAGAACCAAGGTTCCACTATTTAGACAAGCGTGTTTCTGGGTATTTGCAGAATCCGGGTGAAACTCCACTGATCCTTAACATGAGAATCAACCCTTGTTTGCCTGTGTGGACAAGGCCTGAGCCCATGTACCAAGTGCGATAGAAAGGATATGCAAATCAGAGCGCAAGCCCATGCAAAGGCACATGGTGTCCTACAATGATAGCATTATAGGCACATCAGGCACAACCCTTCCTGCTCCGTTTGAAGGACCCCCAGGACTACGATAAATCCTCTCCTCACTCTGCTCAAGTCCCTCTGGCAATCTTTTTCCACCAGTGGCACTGGTGGCAGGGTACTTATGCGCTTCTTAATACCTGTGACCTGATCGACAAGGATGCGGGAGGTGATGATGCGCCCATACTGCGAGAACAGCTGCTCCATCTCTTTCTGGCTCATCGTCTTGGGTAGGCCGCTCACGTAGAGATTGGCATCACGGATGGAGGCTGAGCTAGGCCGGGCGTAGGACACCTGGTGGCAGAGAGGGCAGAATTACAAACACTCTCGAGAAAGAGCTTTCTGTTTCCACCTCCCACTTCAACCCCAGCAGCTCCCAGTTTCTTCCAGGGGAGCCAAGGATTCCTACTTTATTCCTCCCCTGCCTACCTCCGCATCCATCTTCCATCCTCTTCCTCTATAAGCAACCTGAGATAGGAACCTCTCTTTTCACAGTGCCATGCATATCCATTGTGTGGTAATAATAATAAGAGGGACGCGGGTGGCGCTGTGGTCTAAACCACAGAGCCTAGGGCTTGCCGATCAGAAGGTCGGCGGTTCGAATCCCCGCGACGGGGGTGAGCTCCCGTTGTTCGGTCCCAGCTCCTGCCCACCTAGCATCAAAGTGCAAGTAGATAAATAGGTACCACTCCAGCAGGAAGGTAAACGGCATTTCCGTGCGCTGCTCTGGTTCGCCAGAAACGGCTTAGTCATGCTGGCCACATGACCCGGAAGCTGGCTGTGGACAAACGCCAGCTCCCTTGGCCTGTAAAGCGAGATGAGTGCCGCAACCCCAGAGTCATACACGACTGGACCTAATGGTCAGGGGTACCTTTACCTTTAACAATAATAATTAACAATACTAACAATATTGCCACCCAGACTCTGCCTTTACACCCCTTCATAGACTCTGGCCTCCTTCCATCATTTGCACGGATTCGTTGAGATCAGGGTTTCCCAAACTCTCCATTTGTTTTTGAACTACAGTTCCCATCATCCCTGACCACAGGTGCTGCTAGCTAGGGATAATAGGAGTTGTAGTCCAAAAACAGCTGGATTACAGTATGGGAAACCCTGATTAGATGTATGGCTTAGGGCTCATCCAGACATCCTTTCATGCCACTTTTCTAGGCACAGGTCCTGGTTTTAAAGCTCTGTGTCCGAGCAGTTTGTCTGTCCCAGCGCTTTCCCTGGGAACACCAACGTCTTACTGCAAACGTCAATCTGCAAAAATACCCCTGTTTGCAGTTTGCCCCGATTCAGTGGTAAAATGTGAGTTCTTCCGAGGAAAGTGCCTGGAACAACAACAAAAAGGATGTCTGGATGACCCCATATTCTGTGCTGAAGGCCCTGAGTGGGTGACTGTCAGGCTTCAGGGACTCGGCTTCCTCCCCCCCCCCTTCAGTAGATAAACAGAACAAAGTGAAAGGAGTCTCTTACCAGTTAGAATTTTTAATGAACATAGCGCAAGAACAAAGAATCCATTCCTCGGAATGAAAGTGCTCCCAATTAAGGGTTCCACCCACTTCCTCCCTAGTCACTTCTGCTCCTTGCAACCTGATCCCGCAACCACTGTGCTTTCTGAGCAGCCACCTTGTCTGCTCTCCTTGACCTTGGACTGAGCAGATGGGTGCTTTCCAGCAAAACAAAGTCTGTTAAACTCTCTCTGCCTCCCAGTTCTTCTCCTCCTAGTTCAGCGGTTCTCAACCTGTGGGTCCCCAGTTGTTGTTGGACTACAACTCCCATCATCCCTGAGCTCTGGCCTTGCTAGCTAGGGGTGATGGGAGTTGTAGTTCAACAACATCTGGGCACCCACAGGTCGAGAAAGGCTATTCTAGCTGTTCATCACGCAGTTCTTCCCAACTTCTACCTTTTGAACTATGCCCCTCTGCAAACCATTGTTCCAAATCTATACTGTCCCATGGCTGCTGGGAAGATTCCGGACCCTGTGAATGAAAGGAAAGAGGGTCCATGCCCCTCTGATCAGATATGCACTCCGGCCTTCCTTTCATGAAGGCACCTTGAGGGCAGCTTGCCCGCCCACCCCAACCCTCCTCACCTTGATTGTTTTTGTCTGTAGTTTGAGCCCATTCAACGTGTTGATTGCTTTATCAGCATCGTTGGAGTCAACATAATTGACAAAGCCGTAGCCTAAGCTCTGCCCTGGTGGGGAAGAAGGGAAAGAGGTTACAGTGGAGGAGCTGCCAAGGAAGGAAGGAAGGAAAAGACGCAGAAAAGGAGAAGGGAGGTTTCTTTCAAACCAAGGGGGAGGGAATAATTAAGGTGAAGGTAGCATTTTCAAAAGAGCTGAAACAAAAGCTTAAAGCTCTTGAAGTCTGATGCAATTTTAACATCTGAATATAAAGGTTAAAATTGGAATATAAGGGTTGTTTCAGTGTGTTCAGAACTATCCTGTGAATGCTGCAGTATATTATTTTGTGCCCCTCACTCCTTCCGCTCCTGCCTGCGTTGCTCAGAATACAAAGTGTGGCCTATCGAGTTATTCTGGAGGCCACAAAAGACATGATACAAGAGAGCTGTGAACCATCTCCAGATGGTTTGGGGTTTTTTGGTTCTTTATTGAAAAGCAGCTGTGGGGGTGGCAAATTTGACCACAGCAGAGATGCGGGGGGTCATGCCTAACCCTTCCCCCCACAAAAAAACCTGTCCCTCACACACTTGTGTTTTTCTCAAGCAAGGGAGAAGATATGGGGATCCGAAATCTATATCCTGCAGGCGAGGAAGCAGCTTGGCGGGAGCAAATTTTGATCAGAAAAATGGTCCACAAGTTAAACACTTATCTCCCCCACCCATGGTTTATTTATTGTATTTACATATTTATTAATCTTAGACCCTGTCCTTCCTCGCAATGGAGCTTAGGGTGACAAACACACAAGGTATCAAACAATTAAAGCATCTTAAGAACTATTCTAGTACAGAAACTGGATAGGATCTGCACTTTAAAAGGCTCGTTGGAAGAGGAGAGTCTTCAAGCAGGCCACCGAAAATACAACAGATATGGTGCCTGCCTATTATATAATGTTGTCCAATCAAATTCACACAAGTACCGTGTGCATGGATGGGAAAGGCCTATAGCACCATGGTACAGCACCTCATTTGCAGTTTCAGTCTCTGACACCTCTGCATAGGGCTGGGAGACCTCTGTCTAAAAGCTTGGAAAGCTGCTGTCGATCAGTGCTGACACTACTGAATAGCTGGACCAGTAGTCTGGGAGCTCATTTAGACTTCCTTTTGCCCCACGCTTTCTAGGCAAAGGTCCAAGCACTTTGTTTCCCTTCCCCCCCCATGCTTTCCCTGCAAAAACTCGCTCTTTACTGCTGAATCAGAACAAATGGCATTCCATGGAAAACCTGAATCGCCGTTTGCTCTGATTCAGCAGTAAAGAGCAGGTTTTTGCAAAGAAAGCCCCTAGAAATTGCGGGGCAAATGTTGTGTGGATAAGCCCTGACTTGGTAGAAGACAGCTTCTACCAAGCATTTTAGCTAAACCAAAAATATTTGGAGATTGGCTCTCCCACACCCTGTCTGTAGTTCGGTCTTGGGGCAGCATGCAATTTTTTCATGGGTTCTTTTCATCCAATGTCGGATGTGGAAGCTAATGGTCTAGAGCAGAGCTTCCCAAACTTGGGTCTCTCTCCAGCTGCTTTTGGACTACAACTCCCATCATCCCTAGCTAGCAGGACCAGTGGTCAGGGATGATGCAAACTGTAGTCCAAAAACAGCTGGAGATGCAAGTTTGGGAAGACCCTGGTCTAGGGGAACTGCACCCTATGGACAAATTCAGGAGGGCACTGCAACACACCTTATGTTTCAGCCAATGACAGAACCATCCTCCACAACCTAAGAATACCTACAAACGCAGGTCACAGAGCCCTAGTAGGAGGGCCTCACATCATTATGTAACTGGGTGTCAGAAACATGACCATGGTCAGCATTTGCTAATAAACTCTCAAAGGAGTATTTTTAAACAAACTGGTTTCAGCTCTAGCAACCCTTTCATCGGCTATTAGAATGAGAGTGATCTGGAAACTAGTCCCAGAATCCTGTTTTGGGCTAACAGGAGCACTAGAAAACAAATTAACATTAAACAAACGCACTACTAAAAATCAAGTTACTGATCGGAGGGGGCCTCATTTAATTTCAGAAAGGCACAGACTCTTATTAATAGAAGCAGCAGTTCTTAAGTAACAGTCCTTAGTCCAGAAGGCCTTAATAGAGAAACAAGCGGGGACTCAAAGAAAATGTGTTGGGTCTCTGGGCTGCTGCTGTTTAGACCTCCCACCTGTTCAGAGATTGTGCAGGGGTTCCGGGGTGTGTGTGAGGAATGGCTCATTATTTCCTTGGTCACTTAAATGGCCTTGTCCCAGTATACCTGAAGGAGTGTCCCCACCGCCATCGTTCAGTCCGGACTGTGAGGTCCTCTTCTGAGGGCCTTCTGCTGGTTCCCTCGCTGCGAGAAGTGAAGTTACAGGGAACCAGGCAGAGGGCCTTCTCGGTAGTGGCACCCACCCTGTGGAACGCCCTCCCATCAGATGTCAAGGAAATAAACAACTATCTGACTTTTAGAAGACAGCTGGAGGCAGCCCTGTTTAGGGAAGTTTTTAATGCTTGATGTTTTTATTATGTTTTTAGACAAGCCACCCAGAGTGGCTGGGGAAACCCAGCAAGATGGACAGGGTATAAACAATAAAATAATTATTAAGGGAATCATGCTTGTTTTTTAAAACCTCATTGCATGCATGCCCTTGTTATAAACCGTCAGGGCAGATATAGTGAACCCACAAGTCAGATCAAGCTGTGCATCCCTTTGAAATGGCTCACCAGCCCCCCCGCTTGGAAACACCCCCCCCCAACACAACACTGGGCTAGGATGAGAGGTTTAACCCACTCCACCCAGCCCAAAGTTGCAACGGGCAATGTCCGCACCGCAGCAGTGAGCTTGGTGAGGCTTAAAGCTTCTCCACCAAACACAGCACTATGCTGGGGAGGTATCTGCGTGCAAAATGGGGAGGGTGATCTGTGTTTCTGTATGTATGCGTGAGAGCATGTGTGCTGTATGCAGGGCTGGATTTAGGTTTGACGAGGCCCTAAGCTACTGAAGGTAATGGGGCCCTTTATATGTCCAGCTGCCCTTTGTCAACAACAAATTGCCACAGTTTTTTGTGTTGAATACATGCTATATGGTAATTTATGGACCTAATAGGTATCTAAAGCCATTTGCCCATGTTGCCATGCCACCAGGCCATGCAGAATGTAGGCACCCTATATACAGAAATGAGCAAACCAGTGATATTTTAGGGAGCAGGCTAGCAGGTGGGGCCCATTACAATGGTACCTCAGGTTACGAACTTAATTCGTTTCAGAGGTCCATTCTTAACCTGAAACCGTTCTTAACCTGAGGTGTGCTTTCGCTAATGGTGCCTTCTGCTGCCACCGCGCTGCTGCCGCACGATTTCCATTATCATCCTGGGGCAAAGTTCTCAACCCGAGGTACTACTTCTGGGTGAGCGGAGTTTGTAACCTGAAGCGTCTGTAACCCAAGGTGTCTGTAACTTGAGGTACCACTGTACTTACATCATAGGAGCCTACACAACACAAAACGCTGTTGCTGTATGTAGGTTTTATTTTGGTTTTTTTATCTTATATTTTGGAAATGTACATCCAGGTTTTTTTCCGCTTTAATTTTTTTGGGGCCCCCAAGAGAGTGGGACCCTAAGCTAGAGCTTGTTTAGATTATATGTAAATCCGGCACTGAGCTTGTGTGTGCTGAACCATATGGTTGGTGTGTGGTTGTTAACCACATTGGAAATGACCCTTATCTGTGCCTGCTGCCATGCAGTCCTTGGAGGGCCCAAAATAAAAAAGGTTAGCCATGCGGGTGGCACTGTGGGTTAAACCACAGAGCCTAGGACTTGCCGATCAGAAGGTCGGCGGTTCGAATCCCCGCGACGGGGTGAGCTCCTGTTGCTCGGTCCCTGCTCCTACCAACATAGCAGTTCAAAATCACGTCAAAGTGCAAGTAGATAAATAGGTACCGCTCTGGCGGGAAGGTAAACAGCATTTCCGTGTGCTTCGCAGAAGCGGCTTAGTCCTGCTGGCCACATGACCCGGAAGTTGTACGCCGGCTCCCTCAGCCTATAGAGCGAAATGAGCGCCGCAACCTCAGCGTCATCCACGACTGGACCTAACGGTCAGGGGTCCCTTTACCTTTACCTCTGGGTTAGGGCCTCAACTGCTTCTCCACACCTTTTCATTTCCCCAGCTGACACCCTCAGCATTGATGGAGGCTACTACGCAAGCTCAGTCCTCCTTGAGCTGCTACCTGGGGAGTCTATTGCGGAAGCAGGCAGAAACTCTTCTGTCTGTAGGTGGCCCTGTTCCACAGCCAAACTGACAGATACAGGATACAGGACCACACAGTTCAGCATTTGATTATGCTGATGACAATGACTAGCTGGGGAATTCTCTGAAATGTTCCTCACGTGCTGAAAAGGAAACCTATTCATCTACTTAAATTTTGAAATTTAAACTGAGAGGTGGTTTGCCTTTTTTAAAAACGTGCTGCAGACTCTTCAGCAAAAACTTTCAAGTAATACTACATGCACATCACTGCCACCCCCTTCTCCTCGCAGCTTTGCTTGCGTCATGTAATAAAAATTTAAAGTCTTATCTATATAATAAATGTTCATAATTGTACCAACCAAGCACGTACATAGATAGAGGGACCACATGTCTGGAGCAACAGAGAAAGACCGCCCTGAAACCATTTTGACTCCCAAACTGACCAAATGTTTTCTCTGCAAGGAGGGAGGGGGTGAGGGAACCTCCCCATTGTCTCAGGAATTGGGTAATCACCATCTCAAAGGAATGGCCAGACTACCAGGAAAGGCAATCAGATAAGGCATTATCAGATAACCTGGCAGACAGGAAAAACAACATTCAAATTTCTGTTGTAGACCGCCTTTTCTGTGGTATGATGTTTGTGGGGGGTGGTCTTGGGTTACACCCCTTCTGTGATGTATGTATGATGTATGGAGGGGTGGTCTTGAGCTCCAGGGCAGGGAATTTAAAATGTCTATATAAGGGCGGGCACACCTTTGTTCTGGGTCCTCCTCCTTTCCTGCGTGTGAGGGGAGCACCCTG